TTGATAAGGCGTATAAAAAAATGGGCGTCAACGCTGCGTATGCGCATTATTGGGTGCGTATGTGTGCGGCTCTATTTTGATATTACCTTCGCACACACGCACCCACTTTCCACCCTTCCACTCCCCCTTCTTCGCGATCATTTTCAATGCTAAGCCGAAAAATATCAAAAAACTATCATCGCTGGGTTGCTGTTGTTGTTGTTGTTATGGTTTTGATAACACCGTTTGAGGTGTGCGCGTGCTCTCTTTCCTCTGCCACCGTCCTCTGCCAGCAGCGACTGCGCTGCCTTTCGTGGTGACGTCGGCGTTAACAATTTACATGTGTTGTTTGCTGTGTTTGTTTTGTTACTGTTATATTTGTTTCTAGCTTCAGGCACAGTGGGCATAAAAGCCTTAGTAACTGTTCAAAACAATCAAAGCAAATAGACGATTATCTTTTAAACAAATAAAAACTAAAACAAAATGCATTGTAAAGTTATTTAATATTAAAATAAATATAAAAAAATGCTCGATTTTCTTAAACATTACAAGCATTAAACCATTTCAAGAAACTTTGTTAATATTTAGCTTTTCCGACCCACTGTACCGCCATCGGCAACCAATAAGAAATTAACGCCATTGCTGATACTCTTGTTGTTGTTGACACGATCTCTAGTCGTTTCGCTTCGTGAGTGCTTCGCATACATTCGGGGAAAGAGAGAACGCTCTCTTTACAGCTGTCCGCTCACGCTCAGCTGAGCCACTTGACATGTGGGGCCCGAAAATCGGCCCACCAACCCCTCCTCCCCATTCCCCCCCTTCGTTACGCGTGACTGTGGTGTGACCAAATTTGGGGCAAACGAATTTTGAGAAAATAAAATCACCGTTATGGCTGCACACCAGATTTTAATGGCATTTCATTCCACAAAGATGACAAGAGATATTAGAAAATGTGTGCTGGGAAAATGGAAAACTGTTTCATTTTTGTTAACAACACTCAAATAAAAAACACTTGATGGATCAAATCAAATTACCCATAAATTAACTCTAATTTGTTGGTGTTCAATTTGGCCTTTTTGGTCACACTTGCCAAATAGTTTTTTCGCGCCCAACCAAAAAGTTTACACAAATGCACTAAAAAAAAATATTGTTTATTTGTTTTGATTTCCTTAAATAATAGAAAAAAAGGTTTTCGTTGCTTGTAATAAACTGAGACTAAAAAAAGGTAATCGGATTATAGAATTTAAATACTTGTATAATCCTAAGAAAAATATAGTTTTTAGGAAACTATTTTTATTTTCAGTGAGCCATGTTTTTCTCAGTGTACAAGCACTAGTATTTGTTTGTTTGACCACTTATCAGCGTTTATATGTGCGGACCTATGTTGGCATTCCGTTCTGTAGAGTGGCCCTGACTGTCTGCAATTGACCGCAAAGCGAACGTGTGCTGTCTAGTGTTAATTAACAGCCACGCATCGCAGCTAAACATGAAAACACACACTTTGGGTTGGACCCTTTTGGGTAAAGGCTAGAAAAAGTAAAATTGGGATTTTTAATAAAATAAAAATTACTTATACGACATGTTGGCATCATTCTTAAACCTTGTTTCTTGTGATAATGCTTGCTTTGTAATAAAAAGGACTGAACCTTATGTGATTTAAACAATAAGAATTAAGCAATTTTTTGAAAATATGGAATGCAAAACAGGATTCCTTTAGACTCCATTGGTTCCTGCACAGGGTCCACCCTAATACAATGCGCATACGCAGCGTCGGCTGAAGCATAAAATAGAGCGAAATAAGATGAAGATGGAGGTGCAGGTTGCAGATCGATCTTTTGATATTGATTTCAATATCTCGCTCGCTCGCTCTCCAGCTCTCTCATCGCACTCTCTCTCTCGCTCTCTGTGTGCTGCTTTATCAATTTGCGTTTGCAATCAGTGCTGACAAGAAGAGGAAGAAGAAGCAGAGAAACAACAACAACAACCACGGCAAATAGAAACGAGGCGCGCGCTGTGCTCACACACACATGGAAATCAATTAAACCCGTTGTCGTCGTAGTCGTTATTCGGCCACGCGTACACTTGTTGCTTTGCTCCATCTCCATCCCATCTCTCTCCCGCTCTCTCTGCGGCGGCTATCTCTCCACACCCCCCTCCTCGCTCCTCTCCCGGGCGCTCAGCATCATCATCATTCGTGATTCGATTCGTTCTTTTCGCCGGAACAGCGGACACTTGAGAGAGAATTCTCCGCTCCGGACAAACGGGCTTCGGATTGAGATTCGGATTCGGGTTCGAGTCTGCGCTAAAGTTATATAGCGCGCCCACCTTTTTCCGCCGCAGTCCATCGATCTCAGCGTAAGTGTTCGCATCGCCACTCGTAGCCGCTCTCCGAATTACGGGTCACGGTTTACGGTTTACGGTCTACGGTTTGGCAGTCTACCGCTTTACGGTTTAGCGGTTCACTGTTCGCGGCTTACGAGCCACGGTCTACGGCTTACAATAACGATTACGCGGCTTCCAGCAACGAACTCGTGCCTAAAAAAAAATTCGCACTTTTTTCTGCCGGTTTTTTTTTCTGGTGTGATGTGTGCTCAATTAACGTTTATTATTTGAAAAGTTAAAACTTGTGCGCCCCTTTTTGTATCAGCCGACAAATGATGGCCTGATCGCGGAACTACGAATATAAAAATCTGCAAAATTAAATAATAAAAAAGAAAGAAAATTCTGCGTATTTAAAACCGTTGTTAATTGGAATAGACACCTTTGTAAGACGAAATTCTCAAAATTCTTCTTAAAAAATCACTAAAGTTCTTGGGCATTTTGTTTTTTGAGACCCAAGTAACTCTCTCAGCCGAGCGGTTTATCTTATCGGCCTTTGGGCTGAGGGATAGAACTCTGCGGACAGTCCCTGTCCCTGCATAAGTTCCAGTCGCGAACCCACAGACCACAACGAAGGCAACCGGAACCCGTCTAGAATCTCCCAAGCGCCAAAAGCGAAATTAATACAACACAATTATATATACATTTAATTCACTTGCTGTCTGTGAGTCCCCGCATACCGAAAATCGCGTAAAAACTTTTTTGTTTATAACAAATTTAAATGCGGCCAATAACGAAACCAAACAAGAAAATCAGAAATGAGGAGAACAAAAAGAAAGAAATGTGAACAATTTATTTTAAGAGATGATTATGAAAAGTGATTAAAGAAATCGGTGAAAGAAGTGATTTGAGAGCAGGCCGATATGTGAATTCTATCATACAGTTTATAGAAAATGATCAGTTTGAGGGTTTTTTGTTTTACCAACCCTATTTATCAGGTGATCTCTGAAAATCGATTTAACTAATTAAAAAAAGTTAAAAACAAATATAGTTTCTGCTATAGTATAGGATTTTCGTTGATAAATGAAAATGAATTTAAGGAAGAATTTAAATAAATAATATCCTTTGTTTATTCTTATCCGAAAAATATGTTTATCTCAAAGCTTTGTAGATTACAGAATTATTTTAAATAAAGGCAAACCAACAGTTTTCCTTCTCAGGCTTTCCGATTTCCCGACGCTTCCTCTTGGAAAATTAAAAACGAATAATAATAATCTGAGGGCCCCAGATCAGATAAGATCAGCTTAGTTCTGCTCACTTGAGGCTCGTTTATTACACGTTCAATGTGGGTCAATGAAACAAGATCATGATTTTTCACAAACCCAACGGCAGTAGCTACACACATTACACCCAGTACACAAGTATACATGTATATACATATAACCGATTGCTGATAAATACACCGTACAATTTCAATTAGCATTTAATCAAGCCAAGAACTTGCCTTGGCATTTGATTGTCAAAAAAAATAAAAATTATAAAGACCATTCCATGCCGAAACCAGAGGCCACTGGAAGTTATGGTCGAGGGGCGGTGGGGCTTACAGAAGAAGGGGGCGGGGTCGGTCGGTGCTAACACACTTATCTGTGTCACCTCGATTAGCCGTTAAAGTCGTTTGTAAAAAATCCAAATGCACTGGGGAAAAAAGTTGGGAAATTTGGAAAATATTTATTAGTTCCTAATATATATATTCTTTATTTCTACTTGGAATAGTTTTTGTAATTATTCATCAATAATTACAAGAGTATTTTGTATACATTTTTATTCTGAGTGGTTGAATAGAGCTGATGACCGGGTAATTAAAAAGTACGGGGTATATAACTTGTAATTCCCTGAGACCTTGCGGAATTTGCCGCTCTAAAGGGCTTTACATTCCTCCCCAAAAAGTAAAAGGGAATCCAAGCAAGTAGAACAGGGAAGAATCTTCGGATCGGGTGGAACTCGTTTTCCAATATGATACCGATACCGAACTCTAACTGTAAACGGGAAGATAATGTAGCAAAAAAAAACAAAAAAAGAGAGATACCAGGAAGCTGTCGTAGGATCAGAAGAAACAAGTTAAACTTTTCAAGGCGCCTTGGACAACGGAACCAGTTTTGGGAAAGGGAAAAATAATGCACTTAATGCAGCCTCCGCCCGCCAACTCCCCGCCCCGATTATCATAATCATTATCTTCTATATACAACCAACTGATCGGTAAACCATTGCGATCTCCTTATTTCTGCCTTTTCTTGTCGCTTTTGGACTTTGAACCGCGCCGCATTTTTACATCGTTCGGTTTCAGTTTTCGGCATCGAGCTGTAAAAAATATAAAGATACAAAAAGAAAAAAAATAACAAACGGCCATATGAATAAATAAATAAGCGGGCGAAAAAAAGGCGAAGTGCCGAAACAAAACAAAAAACGAAACAACGCATTTTTCAACCTGTTTTCAAAGCGTTTTAAGTGCGTTTCACGAGCGTTTTTAAAGTGTTGAGCTGAATTTTTAGGCCGTTTTCAACCGTTTTTCTCTAGTTTTCCCGCGTCGCATACATTATAATAGATTTCTTTCTTTTTTATTTAATAAGCAGGCAGATAAATACAACAACTAAAACTGCAGAAAACATTTAACAACAAACAAAAAAGCAACAACAAACAAATGTACAAAGCCAATCCAAAAGTAAAATAATTAAATTAAACACACAAACATACAAAAAAGAAAAACAAGAAACAATTAAATGTGCCAACAATATTTAGCAAGTAAACAAAAAACAATATAAGTCAAAGGGAAAACAAGAAAATCGATGCCTGTAAACATAATTATAAAATATACTAAAAGCACTTATCCCAAAAAGAGAACGAGAAGCTCGAGGAGAGAGTAGAAAGAGTGAAAGAACACTGAGCAAAAATAAATTAATTGCGTAGCCATAGGAGTAAATTAATCGAAAGTCCAGTGAGAATCAATCAAAATGCGCTTCACCTACAATCAGTATAAACATTACGAATCCGGTTATCGGATTCCATCGAAAATGCATAATCTGAGCCACCATAATAGCAACAACAATAATAATAACACCAACAACAACAATAGTAATAACAATAATGGGGGTGGCCACAACAACAACAATAGCCATCATTATGCCCATCACAACAACAACAATAACGGCGGCAACAACAACACAAATTTTCAAGCCTATCAGCATCATTACAAAAGCAATTTTGGTAAGAAAGTGTTAAATATTAAAAAAAGGGAATATCGTCTATATTATAAAAAAAAACCCTCATAATATTTTAAGTAAAAATAGTAAATATTTTAATTTTTACGTTTAATCAAGGATTCAAATCAAAGATTTCGCAAGCCATATAATTTAAACCATTGCCTTCCGATCAAATCGTTGAGTTAGTTTTTGAAAATTATTTCTTATACTTCCAAAAAATGGTGAAATTTCCGAAAACTTTTTAGTCATAGTTGATATTCAAAGAACTTTATATGGTTCCCAGCAGTTCTATCAATTTTATAGATCCCCCATAAAGATATTCTACAAATGTTTCAGTTGTGATATCTTGAATGGTTCTTCGATAAACATATATTTTTTTCTGTGGAATGCCAGCTGAATTAAGCGTTTTTTAATTGCCAATTTTCGTATATCCAAAGTAAAACCGAAACTAGTATATAAATCGCCTTTATTGTACTATCCCAACATCCAATGTTATTATAATGGCCGGCTTATCGGCAACACGCCATAATTGCTTTGAAAACAAATCTCTCGCTGCGCCTTTGATAACGCTAACGTCTCATAATCGATATGGGTTTGGGTGTTTGGGTGTTCGATTGTTCGTCGAGTACACAAGGAATTTCCTCGCCTCGAAGATCCAGAAACAGCAACAACAGAAACGTCGAGCTCCCCAATCTCCAATTACGCGAGAGGCGCCAGTTGTCGCTGGTGATTCAATTCCTTTCACCATATCAGGTTTGGGCTCTTGCTTCTTTTCGCCAGTTGCCAGGTTTGGCATGGCGATAAGATTGCTGGAAAAACAGTAAAACTAATGCCAAGAAACCGAGACCGAGCCTTAAATCGAAACACTTGACCAACCCGCTAATTGGATGGTGACAAATGAGATCAGCGAGCAGAAGAAATGGTTGTAATAGGGGAACTAATAACTTTGAAAATTGCTTAGGATATTGGTACTTTATTATCGTACAGATGAATAGAGAATAGAGTTAAGAGTGCATCTAAAATTCTAGAACCCGTTTTCTTAGTTTCAAAAGTGGCTAAACGTGTATTACTTGAAGAACAAAAGGAATCTAAACAGTTATTATTGCGATTTGTTTTGTTAATTTTTCTATAGCTTTTCAATCGAACAAATTAACTCCTACCAGACTCCTCTTTTCATTTCCGTTATTATTTCTCGACCCCTTCTTGGCGAAAGGGGCTCATCTTTCACAATAGTGCGGAATACAATGGAATACAGGAGCGGGGTGCGAGTGCAAGTACAAATGCGAGTGGGGAGTGGGTCAGGCAGGTTCAATACACTTAAAATTATTGCTTTATTGACAATCTGTTTTTAGGGTTCACCTCTCGGAAACCGAAACCGAAACTGAAACTGAAACAGAAGCTGTTATTTCGTCCGAGGAGTCTGCGTTTAATTATAGAACTTGCGAGCGGGCCGAGAAAACAACATCTGTGTTTAACTATCCAGGGTGATTCTTTACTCCAACCTCGCCCTGATCTCCGCTGAAAATTGAATTAATGCCACAGTCACAGTCACAGGCAGCAAAAGTCAGCTTTTTGTCAGCCAATTGAGTGCAAAGTCTAGAGATATCACCATAGATACCTATATATGTAGATGAAAGCGACAATGGCTTTGGGCTTTGTCATATCGTTAGCGTATCCATTTATCTGTGGTATCTGGTAGAATCTGTAGTATCTGTAGTATCTCATCTTTATCTGCGGCATGAGACGGCAGTTTAGTAGCCCCTTGGAAACAATAGCCTACCTATCCCCATCTCCCTGATCCCAAACCCAAACCCAATCCCGATCTTATCTGTAGCGATACCAGGTAATGCCCATTTCCCGGTTTCGTTTTTTGGGTTCTGGTTCTTCAGGTAGGCGCGTTCCGCAAGCCCAACAATAAATGTTTGTTTGTTTGCCTGATTTCCCACCCAAGGTTAGGCCAAAAGGGTGCGGATCGCGTGGGTGTTGCTTTTTTCACTTTCTCACTTGCTCACTTATGGTATCATAAAAGCCAAGAGTCGAACAGATTTTCTCGCCTTCTTGCCCCCCTAATTTGTATACCACCTATATCTATATATCTATATATCTACATATTTCTACACATATCTACGCAACGCACGTCACCGAGTTGGGATCTTCGTAATTGGAGATCAAAGTTTGTTTGCCTTCGTTGCTGCTATCAAAGGCGCTATTGTTTGCTTGATTCTTATCTCGTAAATTAGCTCGTAATTGTTTAACGATTTTACCGGAATTAAGGAACGGAACATAGTTTTATGCAAGATTTCTTGGGAATTAAATGGATTTCGGAAAGAGGGTGTTCAAGTTTTCACTAGATAGTAAATAGTTGTGTGAGCTAATTTTAGGGTCTCCACAAATATGGTTTTTATTTGCCGACATTTATTACATTTCTCACTTCTCTTGTTTGCATTTTTCACATGTTTTACCACCCGAATGTGTTGCTCATAATTAATAAAGCTCATGTGGTTTATAAAGAAAAGGTTCTTAAATTAAAATATTAAATAATTCCCTTACTAAAGGGATACCCATAAAACATAAGTAGCTTATCCCCCATTTCCGATTTTCTCCTCTTCTTATCGTTCCGTTTTCCCTTTTTTTTGCTCTCCAGTTGGCCTATCCCAACAAACAGTTGAGATATTACCATATAACCCAAGCCGCATTCGAATTTCGCTCGCCTGCGCGCCCCAAGAAATTATCAAATTTTATTTGCAATTGATTTGCATTTTAATTAAATGTTCTGCGAAATAAACAAGTGGAGGGGCAGGCGTTTTTATGAATAAATAAAGAAGCGCAGGCCAAATAAACGATCGAATGCGGGGTAATAATAAAGAAATATCAGGGGGTAAAAAAAGGAAAGAAGGGGGAGAGGTCGCGGCTTGTTAATGGGTTGGGTTCTTCGTTTGGTTTGGTTTGGTCGGGTTTGTCTGGCTTCCTTATCACTATCAGCGGACTCCGGCTCATTGTTCCGCTGCCCATGATAATATACAAACAGAGCCCAGATGATGATATATGTATACATATAGGAACGACCGTGCTTATAGGCAAGAAACTCCATGTAGAAACTGAAGCTGAAACTGAAACTGCGACGGCAACTGCTGTTGGAATTGAAATGCGAGTGCGAATGCAAAATGGAAATGGGAATTGAGCCTCAATTGAGATCAACAATGAATGCAGCCACAGTAGCATCATCATCATCATGGTGATCATGGTGACAATAACAGATGAAACTGAAACTGCAGCTGCAAGAGATGATGATTCTATGCTCAACGGACTGTACGGACTGTACGGACTGGACCTTAGGTCTCCGGGTTTGCATTCCCCGGCGGAGTTCAATGCACCCCATAGGCGTCTCGTCGCGTCGCAGCATTATCAGTTTCCCCTAGCATATAACTTGCAACTTGCGAACGGGGGCCACAAATCAGAGACTGTGTTTTCTTGGTCCTCCGCCGTCTCTATCTGGATTTTTATTCTTTTGTGTTTCAATGATGCACGGGGTACCATTGGCGCTATAAAGAAATTTCAATTGGAATTGCAACTGCAAAATGGGGCTATCATCTGGAAAAATTAACTATTCGGTTCTAATAGAAATCACTAGCCAATCTAATGTTTAGAAATATATACTTACAAGCTCCATTAATATTTAAATTATTATTTAAATTTATACTTATTTTATTTAATTTATTTTTGCAGGCATGAGGATGACCATGTCCACGAATTCCACAATGAGTGCGCGAATACATCGGAAGGGATTTCGCATACCATCGAAAAGACAGCCGGGTAAGGGATTGCCCGGCAAGTTGCATACCATCACCAGGGTGAGTAAATAATATAGATACCTAAACATATTCGATTAGTTAAATAAATAGTTAGTATAACATACATTTGGCATTTTTGAAAAATCAAAAATCAAAAAATTCTAAACTAAAACTAAAAAAAATCTAAAGTAGAATATGCAACTTGTAATAATGGATAATTAATGCTTTATTTTTTTTGGGTTGTGAATTTTATCTTTTCTATATATTGTAAAAATGTGGTATTAATTTAATTCTAAAATAAAATCTGTACTTAATAATATTAATTAAATACTAGATAATATGAAGTCTATGTTTTGTAGTTTCAGTTCTAGGCCGAAAGATTAATTTAAATACTTCCAAAAGAATTAATTTAATACCTATGTATATCTTAAAACAAAATTTCCAAACTCATTAGTTTAGAACTAAGGTACGAATAGTCTAGTTTCTATGAGCATTATTTTGTAGTTCCGTGTACTGATAGTTTCCATATCATTGTAACTTTGCAGGCGGGTCCCGGAAAGATAGTTCCTGGGAAGCGAATACCACAACGACCCCATCCGCCGCCCTGCGACAACTCCAACGACAGTGGCCTTGGCTTCGATCAGCACACGGAGCTGAGGTCCTCGGGCGGAGGCGGGGGCGGGGGCGTGGCCGATCCTGCGGTCAATGGAGGAGGCAGTGGCGCCAACTCCGCCCAGCGGTCCAACTTGCTGGTCAATAGCGCTCTAACCAACACAGTGGCTGCTGCGGCAGCCGCGGCAGCTGCTGCAGTGGCCAGCAACACGTTGCAGCAACATCAGCAGCACCACCAGCAACAGCAGCAGCAACAGCAGCAGCAGCAACAACAGCAGCAACAGCAGCAGCAACAACAACAGCAGCAACATTCACCGCAGCAGCATTTAATACGAGCGATACCTGTATCAAGGTGAGTCACTGTCACTATCCAGCCATATATATCTACAAATATATATATATATTACTATATTGTATAGTATATATCCCCCCTCTCGGCCTCAAAAGTCTTCATCCGCGTTCATGCGCACGCGCAACTCGTGATAATTGCCAGTTCATGATTTCATTTCGTCTTGCGTTTTTATTCATGGTTTCGAGTGAATGAATATTGAATACTGAATATTGATTGCCTCACAGCTAAAAAAAAAAATACATATGCGCGCACACATTGAACAGATTCGGATATTTAGCAAGCAATATATATTTGTAGTTACTTATCAGACTCAGGGGTTTTCCGATTGCCCGTTAATAATGCAATTAATCTTTCTGATATTCTGGGGAAATAGTATATGGGTTCTAAAAATATCAAATAATATTAATGATGTATTACTGATTATTATGACATTTTAAAACCTACAAAGAAATTCTTTCATTCCGACGATTTTATTGTTAATTCTGGATTGCATTTCAAGTGCAATCCGTTCATTTGTTTATTGGCTTTGAAAATGGGCGGCAATCCAATTTATTCTGAATGATCAGGCTCGTATAGCTGAAACCCCAATGGGGTTTGCAATTGAGGCTTCTTAAAAACTCAGTACAGTTCGAGCATTTCCAATGGAAAGAACGCGTGTGTGGTTCGAAAATAGCACATTCTACAGTAAAATATAGTTAAGTGTTTCAAATAAATCCAGTTAATATTATAATTGTTAGTTTCGTGTGAGCAAAAGTTAAATTCTCCATAAATATGCTTTCTTTATTTCCACTTTGCTTATAAGTAGACTCTTTTTCGACAGGTTTACTTTGTAGGTCATGGTGAATATGTTTAGTATAATTTAGTTGCATTCGATGTGGATTAACAATTCGATTTAAAATTCAGTTTTAGTTTTCATCTGGTTTTCTCTGTGTGCGCGGGTTCATTGTGTTGTTGGGGTTGTGTGTGTGTGTGTGGATGTGTGTTGTTGTTGTTGATTTCGCCTTTGTTGTTGTCATTTTTTGTAGTTATTGTAGCTATTGTAATTGCATGCCCCTATCTGTGTAAATCGCCGCATTATCTTATCAGCTTATCAGTTTTACGAACTCGCCTCCAATTGCAAATTGCAGTTGGGAATGGGAATCGGAAAATGAAAAATAAAGAAAAAAAGTGGAGGACGAGGTGGGTTAATTCAGAAGGTGCTTGGCTTTTGGGGTTGCCCCTTATCTTTGTAAAAAAAAAATCCAAAGGGAAAACAATGCAAGTGTCGTGATTTTTATGAGGTTTATTTAGGGCTTTGGTTAATTGCAGGTACGATCGGTAAACGTTTAAGTGCCTGCCTTTTATATTTATCGAGTATTTACAAGTAAATCAATGGGCCCTGAATATCTCTGCATTATTATCTTTAAATACCATTTGAAATGTGTTTTACAGTCACTCATTTAATTTATTTAGCAAAATACATTTTTAGTTTGCCTAGTTTTTGTTTCTAAAAATATTTCGTTTGCTCCAGAAAGCGAATATTTTAATTTAAAAATAGTTTCACACCATCCCATGTTATCAATTAAAATTCCCCATGCATTTACAGAATCTAAAATAATTTTCTAAATATTTTTAAAACATTGCTCTTCCAGAATATTCCATTGTTGAATTTTTCACTTTTTTGTCGCCCGTCTTTCTTCGGCTCTTTTTTTTTTTGTTGATCTTGCAGATTTGCACATTCTTTGGCGGTTAATTTCATTTGCATACATGAAAATACGCATTTTTCTTTAGCGCTCCGTCGTCTGGCGTCTCTTTCGCACTTTGGCCAATGACTTTTGGATGGGGGGATTGTTTTCTTGGGTCTGTTAGTGCACACAAACATGCATATGAGGGGACGCGATTACTTATACGCACTGTTGCCGCCGTCCGCCGTCCGCCTTGCGATTCGTGATTTAGCTTTGCTTCGCTCCGCTCCGCTTATTATCAATCAGCTGCACTCGCAGTGCAACAGTGCTACAGTGCTCCGTTCGCCTGATTTGGGTTAGGATTGAAGCGCAGTATCTGCGACAGATTACGTATCATCGTCCATTATGGATGCAGGCAAATTATGGCATGCGAGCAGAGAGACCTAATCAGTTTTATTAGCTAATGGGCAAAAGGAATTTCTTGTGAGCTGCTCAAATATTTTGCAATATTAACTGGAATGGAATTCCGTTGGCATAGAACTATTTCTATCTCAAAGTAATTTTCTTTGTATTTTTTCAACCTTCAATCATGATATTCTCTTGATTTCTCCCGTCGACTGGAATCAAAATCAGTCTTCGATTGAGTTCAGGCCGTTAGTTCCGTTCAGTTCCGTTGAGATCCGTTCAGTTATATTCAGTTTATTCTATTTCTATTGATTTGGGTTCATTCAATGCATTTCCAATGCATTCGGACATTGATTGGCGTTTTGGAATGCGAAATGAATCTGTTTACTATCCCATCTCTTAAAAATTAAGCAAAGGGAATGATAGGTATTTGTATATATTTTAGTTGCAACAATTTCGAAATTATATCTATAAATGAGTGCGTGTGCTGCTGTTGTGTATCCCACATGTACATGAATGTCTGTATATATATATGTTAACGTATAGATCGCGGCACGACAAGAAAATGATGGGTCACTATCTGGAGGATCTGGACCTCGTGTCGGCGTCCTCCTCGGAGGACTCGGCAGCCTCGACGCCGCCGGGCGTCCTGGACGAGGACACGGGCTTTGTGAACGACAGCAATTCGACGACCATCGGTGGCAATAGCAACTCGGATCCCTTTGGAGGCGTTTTCCAGGCCACCGAAGCAGCCGTGGCAGCGGCGGTAAATGCCTTCACCCTGCAACAGCAGCAGCAGCAGCAGCAACATCAGGTGCAACAGCAGCAACAGTTTCAGTACAACGGATTGCTGTTGCAGCAACAGCAGCAACATCACCAGCAGCAGCAACATCATCACCATCATCATCATCATCGACATGGCAAGCACATCAAACGCAAGAAGTTCGAGTGCAATCAGGTGGAACTGGACAACGATGATGCCTGCAGCGAGGATGAGTTTATCCGCAAGATTGCCAGTTCGGTGGCTGTGGCATCGGGTACAGTGGCAGATGCCACGCCCCCTGTGGCCGCCCCCGCACCTGCCACGCCCACTGTTAGCCTCCTGCCGCGCATCAGCAGCAGCAACAACAGCAACAGCAACAACAATGAGACAAAGTAAGCGGCGTGTTTTCCTTTTCCAGCTAAAAAGAAAACCGACTTTGCCAACAAAAATAACTAAAAACGTTCTTTGGTACATTTTACAAGTTTAAATTGCATTTAAATAAAAAATAATCTTAAATAAATATACAAAAAGCTAGGGAACGCAAATTTCATAAAATATTTTAGAGATCTTGAAAACCATAAATAAATAAATATTTTATCCACAAAATATTGGTAATACCAAAAACTAGAGAAAGTAAATTTCTTTAAATATATTCCTAATATTGGCTATAGAAAACTGATTTTAGAGATCTTGAAACCCATATTTATGTACTCACAATCAAAAGCGAAAACAAAAAAAATGAGTAAGAATTAAAAACAAGCTATTACTATCAAAATTAAATGTTTAAATACTCTAAAAATATATATTAATAACCCAGAAAATTATTATGTGATTCCATCAGCGGTTTAAAGTCTAAACAATGACTTTATCGCTTGAAAACAATTAGATTACCTTTCAAAATTAAACACCAAAGAGTTTTGTAAAGACATACAACGATTAGGGAAACCCAATAGATTATTTCGGTGCCAGAATAATTGACTCTTTGCACACTGTAGACACCGCAGACCAGAAACGTTTGTTATTCCCAGATTATTTACTTTGATGGCTTTGACTTTCGTTCTTTAATAATTGCCAAATGTGTGTGTGTTTGTTCCCGTCTATCTGTATATATTTTTGTAAACAAAGGCGCAAAAAATTTGAAGCAATTGTAAACAAATTGGTCAAAGCTAAGATTTATTTAAACAAAAACGAACCGAACAGAAACGAAACGAATGCAAAGTGCAGTGAAAAGCAATGAAAATTGCGAACGAAAATTCCTTTTTGGCTTTTTTATGTTCCATGTGCGTGTGTGTATGTTTGTGAGTAATTAACAGCATTCAAAAGTCATATATCATTCATTTTTTAGCTCCACATATCTAACTAAATCCGTATCCGTATCCGTAGCTTTGTAGACTTTTGTATCTTTTTATGTAAAAAACAAAAAAATAAAATATAAAAAGAATTCATCTCATTTTCATTCCCGTTCTTTCGGCCAGCACATGTGAAAAATAAACCATAAATCATTTAACCCAAACCAAAATCGAATCTAGATTTCTTCAAACGGACATCGGCCAAAGTTCAAGTACAAGTGCCACATATATATATTTAACGATCCTTAGACAAATAAACCCAGCCAGCCCCAAGAAATTGATTTTTAACGATCGATTCGAATGGAAAATTACTAATTCGATCATCTATTCTTTTCCCTCTCTTAACCCTCAGATTCATATCGGCCAGGACTGTCACCCGGGTGGCCAACAAGCGGCAGCCGACGACGCCGCTGAACAGCATCGCCAGCTCCAACGACGGCCAGGTGCAGCTGGAGATCGTCTCGCAGCCGGAGCAGCAGCACCGGGCCCGCTACCAGACGGAGGGCAGCCGGGGAGCCGTCAAGGATCGCAGCGGCAACGGATTCCCCATCGTTCGGCTCGCCGGCTACGACAAGGGCGCCGTTCTGCAGGTCTTCATCGGCACCGACATTGGCCGCGTGGCACCGCACATGTTCTATCAGGCCTGCAAGGTCGCCGGCAAGAACTCGACGCAGTGCAACGAGAAGAAGGTCGACGGCACCATGGTCATCGAGATCGATTTCAAGCCCGAAACGGACATGACCGTCACCTGCGATTGCGTTGGCATCTTGAAGGTGGGTAGCGCTGCAAAGTGGAGCTTGAAAAATATCGATATTTTCGATTTATTTAATATTTTTTAAATGCTTAAAATATCGATATTTTCGATATTTTTCAAATGTTATTGTTTATTTGAAACATTGATGTATTTCTAACGTTTTATTATAAACATAATTATAATTATTTTTTAGATTTATCTTTTTTGCTTAAAAATATATCTATATTATCGACAAAATATTGGGGAAAACATCAAAAATATCGATCATTTTTAAGATCTACTACAAATAAGTCTTTTAATTTTTTTTTAAAGCTAGCTTTTTCTGTTTACATTGTATTAGCTGAGTTTAAATTTGCGGAAAATATGATCTAAAGATGCGATTTAGAAGCATTTTCTTAAATTGCGCACTTTGAGAGAAAAATGTCTTTTAAATTATGAAAAATACAAATTTAATTATTCAAAAAATATAATTTTATACATTCCATTTGCAGGAACGCAATGTGGATGTGGAGCACCGGTTTCCGGAGCATCTGGCGCAGAAGAACAAGAAGAAGTCGACCCGCTGCCGCATGGTGTTCCGCACTCAGCTGACCCGCGACGATGGCACCACCGAGACCCTGCAGGTCTGCTCGAATCCCATCATCTGCAGTGAGTATTTCAAGTAGATTATCCTTTTAATTTCTATCTTATTAAATAATGTTGTTTTTTTGTGCTTTAGCTCAACCACCTGGCGTACCGGAGATATGCAAGAAATCATTGAACTCGTGTCCCGTTGACGGCGGCCTCGAGCTATTCATCATCGGCAAGAACTTCCTGAAGGACACGCACGTGGTGTTCCAGGAGACCTACGACAGCGTCAATGGCGACGATCCGGCCACCGAGATAGCAGTGCGCCAGCAGCTCATCGGCGGGACCGCCGCCCTTTGGGAGCAGAGCGTTCTGCCGGACAAGGAGTATCTCCACCAGGTGCGATTGGATTTATTCTCAAGGAATTTATAGGAATATTATTAACCTTGCTGTTACTTTATAGACCCATTTGATTTGCACCGTGCCGCCGTATCTGCACCAGAGCATCCTGAAGCCCGTCCAGGTGCAGGTCTCCATTGTCTCGAGCGGCAAGAAGAGCGAGCCGCACACGTTCACCTACACGCCCAAGGGACAGTACACGACGCTGGCGGCGGCCAGCACGTTAAGTAACACAATCCACGCCCAAGGTATCTATTTGTTGACTAAGCGTTCGCTCGCACCCAACCAACCGAAATTACCAACCACAAACTCCCCGAGATGGAGATCGCGATTCGTTAGCTGTATAGTTTAGCTGTATAGATCGAATGAAGAGTACCGAAAAGGTCGAAAAGAGCCTAAGATACCTGATATGTGAGGTAGTCGTGAGGATTAGGCAGTTACTTAAAGATAAAGTTTATGTTTAGTGTTGTTTTTAGTCTACCTCTACAAACTTTGAAGTTGCAATCTTGTTTTTTTTTGTTAATTTATTATTTATTTTTTAAATTTCTTGCAAAAGCAACCATTTAAATTAGCTAAACTAGAACAAAATATAACAAATACAAAATATAAATCGATAAGCGATAGATAAAACAATCTGATCTCTTCATGCGTTATTCTGCTTTCCCCCCTTTCCTTCTATGTATCTTCTATTTCTCTCTGTCTCCCCTTCCTGGCTGGTTTTTTTTCTGGTCACTTAAATTTCTTATTAAATATATATTTAAAAATTAGCAAGTCTGTGTGTAGCCAACCGAACAAAGAAAAGTGCACGAAATTGTTGTGCCAAAAAAATATACTATGCATATTTATATGTTTTTGAACTCGGCGATGATGCACAGAAAAGTAAACAAAGTTCGAGAAATATTTAGGGATGCGACTTTTTTGCAACTCCAAAGCTCAAAAACAGTGGAAAGTTTATTTAAAGTATAAATCAGAATAGTTAGTTTAAGGCTTAAAAGAATTACTTTTATGGGTTTCTCCATACATTTTGCCTGTTTAATAACCAAAAAGATCTCGAGTTCATTGCCTTATCATCCCGTATACGTATTTTACTAAATTAATGGATTTTCACATTTACTTAGGTCACAAAAAAGGGTAATTTGTCGCTCATTTTTTGCCTGCCACTCCTTTCTATTCCCGTTTCCTTTCATACTCTTTCTTTACTACTCTTCTGCACCGAATAACGCATGAAAAATCAATACCCTATATCTTTAAGTAGGAAACTAGGACAAACAGAAATAAAAATCCAACGCAAAATATAACATAAAATATAACTTAATCTATAAGCACAATCGAGAATGATAAAAAACAAAAAATCCTAAATTACCTAAATTAAATTAATAACCATAAATGATTAAGGCACAGGACGGTGCAATTCTTCGGAGAAACGATTCCTCCAGTCTTCCCCCACCTCCCGTCTCTCACTCTTTCTCTCTGCCCCTCTCTCTCTCTTAATTTGTCTCTGCTCGTCCCCTCCACTTGAAAAAAAGAGCGGAGCGGAACCGGAAACTGATCGAAACAACTCTGCTGAATGAATGAACTTGATTTTCCCCCCACAAACCTTCAAACGGATCCTTTGCTTTCTCCTTTGAAGAATGAAGAATAACGAATAGTTTTTTTCTATTCCATTTTTTAATAAAATTTTCTGTGTAGAACATTTTCATACCATACCCGAGTCGGTTTTCCTAGCTTTTTTTAACACGTAAACAAAACAAAAGTTTCGCTTTTCCTGGGGACTTTTCTTCTGGCTTAAGTTACGTGTGTGCCTGTGTTTGTTTTGCCTGTTTGTTTGTTTGATCGAGTGTTTGCGCGAGTGTTTGTTTGTTTGCCTGCGTGCGTGTTTGTGCCGGGGCTTCGAATGGTGTGCAGAGTTTTCTTGATCAAGTTCAGCCGAGAAAAGTATTACATATACCCAAAGAACATACAGTTGAAGATGAAGGAAAGCTCAACCAAAGCGATAACATAAAAGAAACCGATATCATAAACCGATAAACCGACACACGATGAATCAGCAGCAGCAGAAGCAGCAGAATATCGGGAGGATATACCTATAAACCAGACAGAAGAAGAAGAACCGCAAGGCAGATCCCCCCGTAATAAAAAAAGAAAAATAAAACCTGTTTTTCAAGTCAGGAAAAATGATTTAAAAAAAGATCAGGATGTCTTAAAAAAAAAATAAAACTCCCTCCCTCCACCATACAAAAAAACTTCCTCCTCCTCCCAAAAAATATGCATATATATATTTTTACTTTATATTCTTCCTCCTTCCCCTTCTCTTAGCAATTTAGGTGCTCAATCTAACTATATAGTCAAATATGTAAATTTTTGAGTGCTATAAAATGCAAGGCCAAAATTAAATCCAAATTAAGTCATTAATCGACAGTCGATATAACAAGTATATAGACACCGATATAACCTGTATCTCTCTATATATTAAATATATACAAACACAAAACAGTAACTATAGCAAAGAGGCCAACGAAATGCCAAGAATCGAAAGCTTGCCTGGAAAGCAACGCTGGACAAAAGCGATGAAATCGAAAGAATCGCAGCAATCGCTCGATAAGTGACTGCCAATCGCTGTGTTCGCTGGCGATAGATACTCACACACCTCTACACACACAGACACACAAAAATGTCAATCCAAAAAAATATACAAATTACCGAAAATAAAAGGACCTTTGGCACCGAGGCAGCGATATCCTATCCAACCCCATGGGAAATGATGACCGGCGAAGGATTTTCGGCCCCATCGAGTCTTCAACAGCCACCTCTGCTCATCTCTAGCCCCATCTCTAACCTCCAACAACAACAGCAACTACAGCATCAAGGATAATTTTAGGGTACTGGTTAAACAAAAAAAAAAAAAAAAAAACACAAAAAACCATTCAACTATTACAGAAAAATTAAAAAAAAAAATAATTACCGATTGACCAACGTACAAATTCTTTTTTGCCATTTCGTAATCCATTTTTCTATATGTCTATTAATTAATACACACACAATACCCTCCCCTACACACCCACACACACACACATTACCATTACTATTAACTATAAGGGAAAACCATATTTCATATATAACCCTAGAGCATTACCTTTAAGCATCTATATATACAATACGATATATTTGCGTACTCACATAAAGCTAACACAATCTAAAGATTTCCCTTTGTCCTGTCCTGTTTGTGAATATCCTGGGACCGAAAATTGTCACATAGATAGATCATTTGGATAGACTGGGGTATTCTCTTGAACTCTTGATAGGGTATGTAAGACTGATTTCCCTTTAAATATATCTAATCGTCCAATTAATCCTCTGAAATCATTCATGACTACAATTACTATTTTCATTGCATTTCTTATCGTTGCTCTCTTCCAAATTTCTAACTTTAACATGTCTGAAAAGTATATTCCCCTAAATATGTATATGTATTTTCAAGATTTCACCATAACAAAGGATCTAAAATGTAGCCACATTCATTGCATACCCTTAAAAGATCAGTTTCAGTTCTCCTCTATCTAATCACGCAATTCATGTACAGAATTTTCAGTTCTATGTGGAGACGAAGCTCAATGGATGGATGTTCATATGATATATAGATATAGGGACCAGTTAAGACACTTGCTATAGGAACTGTAAGCGGGAACTTGTTCTGAAAGACCAAACTTAAGAGGTGGTAGTGATGGGACTCGTCTAGAACGAGTGGAAATTCAAGCGTCGCTCGACTTCAGAGCCTCAACATTACGCCTAGAGAACGACAACAGCTTTAGATCAATGCGACCCCGCTTAGGAATCGATTATATCGAGTATATTGCCCACTGGGAACTGAGAAATTTGGGTTTTTTTATTTGGCTCTTAATACTAATCCATAAAAACACCTTAGATCCTAAGCAGTAGTGTTTAAGTTCAACAATTAGAAGTAATGTTAAGTCTATAAATTAGGCAAAAATGCTTGGAGTGTGTTAGTGTGATTGATTGATTGATTGAATGAATGCCTGTTGATTTTTACGATTGCCGTTTGATTGCTGGTGAGCATTACTTCGAGTGTTATAGTTTCGTAACGTCTGTTGCTCTGCGATATATTTGTTACTCTTTACTTGTGTGACTGATTGATTGACTGATTGACTGAGAGAGTCTGTCTGATCCATGTCATTCGTAGTGTGTTCTTTGATTGCTTTTATATAATTGATTTTGGCCAGCTTGGTGTGGTTTGATTTACAGCCCAGTTTATTTTTGTGCGTGGAAAGAACGAAACGATCTAAAGACCCACTCTTGAAGACCTTTTTTCTTAGCTCTCTTGTTGCTCTATTCCCTTTTCAGAGTGTGTGAAAGTGAAGAAAGTCGTGTGAAAGTCGAAAGAGAGAACCAAGCAAAAATACTCTTAAGAGCCTAAACTATATAAAATAGATATAAAATTAGTAGTTAAGACCTAGCTTTAGTTACCACTGACCCGAAACCCCCGCGGAGTTGGTAGATCCAAAGAATTCGAGTGCTTTTCCTCGCGTCATAGTCATAATCCATAGTCATAAGTTTGTTTTTAGTTCGTAAGCCGTAGTTACGAAAAGAGAAAAGAAAGGCACTCGAATTTGATGGATCCCTCTCTGCGAAGATCCCCCCTGAACTCTCTCTCTCTGAATCTATCTCAGAAATACCTGGCCTAGGACTAAGTGCTACCCCCAAAAAAAGAAAAAAGAAAAAAAACAACCCCCCCAACTGTCTTACATCTTTTACATCTTTGTTTTCTCTTATGATTTTGTATTATGACCCCCGTGATTCTTGCTTGAAAAACCACCAAAACGAGATTACTAAGAGGCCTCTTCTCTGCCCATTGTTCCTCTTGTAGATGTGAGCGGTTTCATGGACACCACCGCGGCGTCCGCTTCGAGTGGCTCCTCCTCTGGTGGCCCCTGGAGCGGTCCAGCCGCCAATCCCGGCGACAATGTGGAGGCCAAGCACGAGATCGACTCGGGAATGATGCCGCCGCCGATCACCACCCAGATACCGATGGGCGTGCGCCGCTCCTCGCTGCCCAGCGTGACGCCCATGATCACGGACCAGCAGCTGGTCCACCTGAGTGCGGTGGCCAGTGCGGAGGCGCTGAAGACGGAGCTCCTGGACGACGGCAATTCGCATAGTCCCCTGACAGGGGAATCCACGCCGGATAGTCCGAATGCAGCGCTGCAGTATCATCGCTTTGCCCATCGAAAGCCCAGCCTGGATACCATCATGTACGATCAGTCCAACAGCTTGCCCGGTTTCCCGGCCGTCGTGGCTCCCGCAACAGCAGCCGCTGTGGCCGCCGCCGTGGATATCGATCCCGCTGCCGTCGCCGTGGCCGTGGAACTGGCCGTCAAGAACGAGATTGTCAAGCATGTGGTGCAGCAGCATCAGCAGATGCAGGAGCAAATGCAGGAGCAGCAGCAGCAGCAGCAACAGCAGCAACAGCAGCAGCAACAGCAGCAGCAGCAGCAGCAACCCCAGCAGCAACAGCAACAGCAGCAGCAGCAACAGGTGCACAAATTCATCGATGAGCTGACCAAATCCACTTCAGTGGTCACCAGCAATGGCACCAGTGAACCGGCGCTCTTCACCACCTCGGCGGTGATTGATCACGCCCTCACCGATATTCTGCAGGCCAAGGTGGGCATTGCACCGCCGAATGTGGTGCTCGAGAGGAGCCTATCCCTGAGCTCCACAAACTCTAACAGTTCAATGAGCGGCGGCAGCGAGAGTTCGCCCAACAGTTCGCCGCTCACCCAGGATATCATACTCAATTCAGAGCCCGCCGCAGCTCTCGCCGGAGCAGCTGCCTTGGGCGGACCGGCGCCCGTGGATGTGGTGACCGGTGGCCTGTCCACCGACATCATCATGAATCCCGCCGTCTCGCCCTCGACGATTCTGTGCTCGGCCAATGGAGCAGCTACTGCGGTGGTGCCTAATATCCTGGCTCCCCACCAGGTGACCATGGCCAATTCGATACTGAACGACATTGCCATGCAGCCGGAGCCCACGCAGCAGGATGCAGCGGTGGCCGCCTTGGCGCTGAGCAACATCATGATGAGTCCACCGACGGCGGTGGTGGCGTCGGGCGTCGGAGTGGTGGACACTTTGCCGCCGACGCCGGCGGCCATGCAGCCCGAGGTGGCGGCCACAGCGACGTCGACGGCGGTGAGCAACATGATCATCAAGGCGGCGGCGGACTTTATAACCACGCAGGAGCAGGAACAGGAGCAGCATAACTACCATCATCGCGTCCATTCGCATTCGCCGCAGGCGGCCGTCGGCGTTAGCGGCAATCCGGCGGAGACGGCCTCGGATCCGCTGGTCAATCTGCTGCTGAATCACTCGAGCACACCGGAAACAGCGGCCGCAGCCGCCGCAGCGGTGGCCGTGGAGGCGGCCAACTTTCAGTCGATGGGCCACAGCCACCACGCCATGAATCACAGCCACCACGGGCATAGTCACAGTCACCCCCATAGTCACAGTCATGGTCACCATCATGGCCACCATCATGGCCACCACTTGCCGGTGGTGCCGCCGACACCACAAGAATCTCTGATCGTAGCGCTGGCCAGCGAGAATGCGCTGCAAAAGTCGGTGGCCACCGCCGCGGTGACCACCAACGGGGCGGTGATGACGCAGCAGGCGTCGGCACCGAACACCGCCGGCAGCATCCTGCCCGCGGCGGTGGGAGCGGTGGCTGCGGCGGCCGCCGTGGCGGTACAGCCGCCCATTCCCCAGGAGCTGACCACGATGTCGGATCAGGATTTGATCAGCTACATCAATCCGAGCACCTTCGATCAGCGTGAGTTTTCTTTTCATATTTTTTATAACAGTAGAGTATCTTAAAAAGAAACAGTGAATGTTATTTTGTTTGGTATATTATTACCTATTGAAATGTAAAAGAAAATTTTAAAATCGTAACGTTCTTTGCAAGTTATGATCAAATAATGGAAAGCATTAAGCATTAAAAAAATCTGTCAATACCATTTTGATTGTCCTATTAATACCTATTGAAATGTAAAAGAAAATTTAAAAAACGGAACGTTCTTTGCAAGTTATGATCAAATAATGGAAAGCATTCAGTACAAGCAGTTTACTGCTTGCATAACTGCATCTCCCTCGCACTCTCTTTTGCTTAGTAACGGGTATCTGATAGTCGACTATTGCCCTCTCCCTTTTTCTCATATAATATATTTATTATCTATATCATTTAATTAATAATTGATTTCTTTCCTTACAGTTTAAACGGCTTCAGATCAACAAATTAAACTACGTGGACTTGTTTTTTTTTTAATTAACAATAAATGTCACTCCTACACAGGCTTAGTCTTAAGTATATATGTAGTATATAGACACACACAAACACAAACACAAACGATAAGGTTTCATGTGGACCAACTTTTTGACCAAGTGGATGGTTTAAAATCGGGAGAAGAAAGCGAAAAAACCACTAACACACACACACAAACACACATTAGTAGCTGTAGCTTTGTTTTTACATTTAGGAATAAACCCTACCTTATATGGAATACCTACATTTATACTTTTTTTTTGCTTTTTTTTTATATTTTAATATTGATTTTTTGAAAACAATAATCAACTTATCTCAAAAGGTTAAATTAAAACAATGATAACGACTGCCATATACCTACGAAATATAAAATGAGCTCCCAAAAGTGAAGAATGAAAACGGAAAATGAAGAATTCAAATATCAACCCCGAAAAATTCAAAATTGAAGAAAGAACTAACTTTCGAAAAAAAAAATGTTGATTACACTTTTTGCTGGAAAACCTAATTTTTATAATGAAGTCTGATTTGTAAACTTCCTTTTTATTTGTTTGAGAATTTAAGATATATACTTTATAATTAACGCCTAACCGTACGTGCTGGCAATAAAAATTAAGCTAATTATTTTGGGAAAACAACAAAAACGACGAAAGGAAAATATTATTATACAGTTAATAATTTATAAACACAAAACAAAACAAAAAAAACAGTACATATTATGTGTAGCTACGAATATAATGAATATGCGAGAAATTCCAAAAGACTTTTTTGATTTAAAGAAAATGCAATTATTATTTTGTTTATGGTTTAATCATTTTTATTTTAACTTATATTGATGGAACACACACAAATAAAGATGTAACTAATGTTATTACTATTATTATTATTAAATCGCTATTATTATGAATACCCTTAATGTTGATAGTTGTTATGTGTAGCCTTGTAAGCCAGAAATGGGAGGATACTCCCATACAGAAATAAGAACCCACAAAAACTGAAACTGAAAATATAAGAAAGAACAAACCCACAACCAAACTACATTGAGCAAATAACGATATAGCATATTATACCGAATAACGACTAACGATTGTTATGCCAGCCCCAAATAAAGATCAATACCGAGAGAACTCTGCATTTGTATGCCCAATGCCCAATGCCCAACTATTTATAAACATTTACAAATATTCCAACCACGAATTTCGCCCACTCCCAAGAATCGAACTAACTGAGAACCTACAAATGTATGTTTAACTATAGATGTTTTTTTTTTTTGGTATTATCTTGATACACTTGAAACAATTTGATTGACATACGTAATCTAGATGTTCATGGAGTCGATAAATGTGTTAAACAATCTCAGAGATTGCATATTCCTCATTAAATTAAATGTTACAGTCAAGTCAGTGAGCGACAGAGATAGCGTTAGTAAGTGCACGTGAGATGAAGAGAGACGGAGATGGGAAGAAAGAAAGAGAAAGAGAGGGAGAGAAGAGCCCGCGCTTAAGAATTGTTAGTGTTAAATGTTATACACCTATATATACATTATTTATGTTATATATATATATACACACATATATCTAACTTTACAATGAATAAAATAAATGTATTTTTGATGTTCTTATTGCCCAAAGTGCAGAACCGAATAACCACTGAAAACCCCGAAGAAAACTCCCTACACTTTGTTAACGACTATTTAAACGTATCAATTGACGAAATCACGAAACCAGAACCCAGAATCCGCAATCCCAATTTGTCTACAGAAACCATATTAATCTGCTCGTTATCTCTTTTTATGTGAATAAAAAATGAAATCTTTCAAAAAGAACCAAAACGGTGGGAACTTTGTTTAATGAAAACTCGTTGAGTAAAATATATATATGGTATGTAATGAAGTGGGGGCAACTAAATAGAGTTTCCAAAATATTTAAAAATAAAAAATGACTTTAAGAAGGCTTTTATAGGATTTCAAAATACATTTTTAATAGCTTCGATAGTTTGGAAATACCTGGCTGAAACCATAATCTTTTGGAAATTTGTTAGAAATTCTCCTCGAGAATCTGAGTGGAAATATTCTGTACTATTACTATGGTTTTCACATCCATTTTATTATCTATTTAAACCTTTTTTCCAGTCAAATTATATAAAAACAATATTTTATTGTCAATATAGTTAGATACATTTATTTTTATTACTAAGATAACAGTAATTAACTTGTTATAAACAAAATATAAAGCTAGATTCTAGACAAACGCACTCATGGGCAGGAGTTGGCCCTCCCGATGCGACTGATGGATCCAGGCAGAGTTCAAGACTTTGTCGGCGCTCAGCGTGGAATGGTTACTCAGCCAGTGGTCAAACTTATCGTTGTCCAGGTCAGAAGACATGCAGACGAAGCCCAGATTCAGCTGCGGATCAAATTCGTCGGCCAGTTTGCCGCCGTTTTGCAGGAACAGAAGCTTGCCGAGCTCATCGCCAAGCGGATCGTAGAAGTAGGCATGCAGGTGGCGGAATAGATTCAGTTTCTTCTCGCCGTCCAGCAGCTGATCCTCCAGAGCATTCACCTCAGCAGCGATAATCTCGCAGGAATTCTCTGGTGTAAGCTGAATATCCTTTAGCAGTTCCTGCAGCTCCTCCACACTGGCAATATCCTTGTTGTAGCTATCGCCCAGAAGGTCGAAGCACTCGGCCAGATCCCGCTGCAACGGCTCAGTGGCCGCCAGCAGATCCTTGGGCTTGAGTTCGAGCTCCTGCCGCTGGCAGACCCTCAGCAGCCACTCCATGCGCAGAATGTTGCAGGTGCGCGGCTCCTGAAGGCAGAGTCGCCGGACCAGAAACGTCTCGTCGCCGGCAATGCAAAAGCACTTGGGATCGTTGGGCAGCGGGTTCTCCACGATGCAGCCGCCGTTCTGGGCGACCAGCTCCTGCAGCTGCTGCTTGCTCTGCCGCCCGGCCGATCCGCTCAGTACGCAAAAGCTGAGGCCGTCGAACAACTGGGAGCTGCTCGCCGCCGGGTCCACCGCACAGCGTTTCTCATAGACGGCCAATCCGAGGCGACTCCGCTCCGAGGGCGTCATCCGCAGCTGCTTGCGCTTGGTCGTTACATCCTCTAGGCGCAGCTGCCGCTTGTTCAGCTTCTTGATGGCCGTGGATCCGGCGCACAGGTCGTTGAACTCCTGCAGGGTCATGCACTCGCTCCACGGCTTGTCGTCGCGCTTCGTTTCGGTGCGCGGAAAGTGCAGCGATTTGCGGGTGAAGAAAGCTCCATTTGGCGCCAAATCGGCGGCCTTCACCTGCAGGATGATCGAGTTGTGCGGCTCGATCCAGAGATCGGGGCATCCGGCGCGCTCCTTGGGCTTGTAGTGAAACCACAGCGGCGGCGGCTCCTTAATCACATCATGCCAATGCGGCTTTAGCGTGTGATTTAACACTCCTCGCTGCTTCGTGTTGTTCGTGACCACGCCGATGCTGAAGACCTCCGGCCGACTGGCGCTGCCGGGCGGCGCTGGCTGGAGAACTCCCAGCAGAAAGGAGTCCACGAAGGTGCGCTTGCGGTTGTAGAAGGCGCCAATGATCAGCACATCGAACTCGGTGATCAGACCCTTGATGTACTGGGTGGTAGAATAAATAACTGAATTAAAATATATTACAAAACAAGAGAGAACGCCTATAACTTTTTAATGAATGGTCCGATTTGAAAAAAGTCTTCTACATTTCGATAGGTATAAATATACACAACAAAATTGCATTTATACTTCTCGAAAATCTTTAAAGTTGTGGCCGCCAGACACATTTTAAAATCGTTAGTGGGCGATTGTGGGCGTGGCGCTCGGCTGAAATAAACTTGCGCTGCGTAGGAAGCCCAGGAATATGTGTGGAAAATCCCAACCTTCTAGCTTTTGTAGTTTCCGAGATCTCAGCGTTCATACGGACAGACAGACTCTACGAGTAACGGGTATAAAGACTACTCTTTACTCACATCCGCCTTATCCTTGTACCACCCACCGCCCAGCCTCACGCCCGGCTGATATGTGGAGCCCTGCTTCTTCAGCACAATGCCCTCGGCGTGGGCGTCGAGTGCCTGCTGGAAGAGCTCGTTGAACTCCGCGACGGAGCCGATCTTGCGGCCGCGCATCAGCTGCAGCACGCCCGGCTGCTCGACGAGCATCTTGTGCAGCTTGTACGCCCGCTGCACGTAGCTGTGGTCGAGCAGGCTCTGGCCATTGAAGTACAGCAGATCGTAGACCACGAAGCAGGGCTGCCAGCTGCCCTCGGGCTTCAGGTTCTTCACGTCCGTGTTCTCGCCCTTCTCGCGGAAGCGCAGCTGGCTGGTGTCCCACACCATCATCTCGCCGTCCAGGATGATGGACTCCAGGCCCAGGGGCAGCAGGCTCCTCAGCTTGGGCGTCAGAGTGCCGTGATCGTAGTCGCGTCCAAAGTTGCGCGTGTAGTCCACGCCGTTCCGGGAGATGTACATGAAGCGGCCGCCCTCGATGTGCAGCTGGAAGCGCTCGCCGTCCATTTTGGTCTCCATGTAGAGCACATCCGACTGCATCAGCTCCTGGATGTCGCCGGGAAATCGTTCGCAGAGCATGGGTCGTATCTGATGGAATGGCCGGATGACGGCGTTCAGGTTCACGAACTTCACGGCTGCCTTGCTGTCGTCCAGGTCGCTGCCCCTATCCGCGAGCAGATTGCACACGTGTCCCAAATCGGAGCAGCGCTGGTAGATGTCCTGCGCCCTCGGGTGCAGCACCCCGAAGATCTTCTGCTCGCCGATGCCCAGGCCAAGGCTCTTGAGCAGCAGCCGGATAAGCCACTTCTGCTCCTCGGGCGAGGCCTGCTCGGTGAAACGGACGAGCTGCTGCTTCTTGACCTCCGTGTCCTCGCTGGCGATCGTGTCCAGCATCGCGTGGATGTGCTGCAGGCGCAGATCGCTGGGCGGATTGGAGCACCGCGGCTTGAGGACGGCGTAGACGACGTCGCCGTAGTCGCGGTACATGTTACCGCTGCGGTGCTGCAGCATGAGGGCATCTCGCGCTGAAAAGGAGGAGAGATAACTTGGGTTTATGGAACCTTTACCCACTTACAATCGCCTGGGAGCTGCAGCACCTTGATGTACAGCCTGCCCAGGGCGGTGATCTGCAGGCCATAGGTGTCCCGACCTGTGTCCGCCCCGGGGAGCAGCAGGCGGAGCACCGAATAGAAGCTACTGACCCCGTTCTCCGCCTGGTCGTCGGTCAGGCCCGTTTGCCGGCGAAAGGACTCGCGGTGGCGGCAGAAGGACTCGTAGTAGCTCTTCAGCACCTCCTCCTTGTTGGCCACCTTCCTGGTGGCCTTCAGCTTCTCGAACAGGTCGCAGATGTCGCGGAACTTGATCGTGCTGGCTATATCAGCGCTCATTTTGGCTTAATAATAATAAACAATTTCACCATTTTTTAAACAGCTGTTAGGCAATCGATAAAATATCGATATGCTATTGATATTGCAAGACACGGACTGCCTATCGGTAAACACCCATCCCCAAAAGTGGCGGGAAATCTGTGTTTTTGTTTGGCCAGAGCAATTGTTATTTACATTTAACACTTAGTTTTGATTAAATTACCCGGCAGAATGAGCAAGAAGGCAACGCGCGGCAGCAAACCGAAACCGGAACCGGATGCGGAGGGATCTGGCAAGAAGACAACGGCCGCTTCGCTGAAGAAGGTGATGTTTCTGTCGCAGGAACTGCTGCCCAAGGATGCGGACGAAGGGCGCCTCCGGCTGGAGCGCTTCTTTCACCCTGGCCAAGGGAAGGAGGCGCTGTTCGTCACCCATCCCGATGGCCAGATGATGGAGCTGCTGGAGTACGCGGAGCCGCGTCGCAGTTGGCTGGTGAATAGCGAGGTCTGCTCGAATGGCAGGATCTACATGACCACGCCCGTGGATCCCACGCTCCTGGCCCTCCATCACCTGCGGAAGCACTGTGCTCAGCGTAGGATATATCTAAATTTATTGATAGTATGGATTTTTAAACTGTACCCCTCTTTCCTACAACAGGCGCAATGTCGCTGGACAACATTGCGGTGGAGGAGGCCAGCACCAGCCGCCTGCTCAACGAGATCCTCGCGCCAGAGAGCCTGAAGTGTGTGGCGGATGTGAAGAGCTCCGGCGACCAGCGGTTCTACAAGTACAACCAGGAGCGAACGCTGGCCTGGCTGGCGCTCAAGGCGCGCCAGGTGGCGGGCGTCCTGAAGGAGAAGCAGATCCACTGCGGGCACAGTGCCCAGTCGCAGAACTTCGTGCGCAGCGAGAAGGTGGCGGCGGAAAGTGTCAGCCACGAAATGGACTACACACGCATGGCCTGCGACATTGTGGGCCGCTACTTGGATGCGGATCTGCATGGCCTGCTCACCGCCTACCTGCACATTCCCAGCGAGATTCAGGCGATGGTCGAGGAGAAGGCCGCCGCCCAGAAGCGGAAATCGAAGGCGGGCCAGGACGAGGGCAGCGACTCCAAGAAGATCAAGCTCAACGAGAGCGATGCCGCCGCGAAGCTTAAGAGCAGCGGCCTGGTGGACAGCGACAACGATCCCAATGCCAGCATCACATCGCCCACGTCGGCGGCTCCGCTCAAGGAACGCTCGCTGACCGCCAAGGAAAAGGCCCTGGCCAAGGGCGCCAAGGGCACCAAGAGCATCGCATCGTTCTTCAAAGTGAAGTAGATTTAGGTTTCGGATAAGTTATTAATAGGTTCATGTTTCCTAGCGTGAACTTCCGCTTACAATTTTTTTTGCCACGAATGTTTAACTTTTAACAATCAATTTACTTACATTAGTTTTCATTTTCATAGATTTTTATTATAAAACCTTATAGTGGAAAAGTTTAAATAAGGTTTTTTTTGTTTTTGGGTCTCTTGTGTGTACCAATTAAAGATTTTAGGATAAAAAAAAAAATGTTTTCGTACATAAAAATTTTGGAAAAATATTTTAATTTTTCCTTGATTATTTAAACCTAATCAAATCAGAATATAAATAAATTCTCTATTTAAAAACCGCGCCTATTGAGCTCATGCGCTCTTGAAACATCCCTCTTCATCCCACTACGTAAATTATTATCAGCTGTTTGGGTTGCCAGGCTTATACGGATAGATTACGTTTGACATGGAGTTTTGCCTGTAACATAACTCAAATTAATATTAATCTAAGCTAAGAAAATAAATCACTAGTGATTTAAAATCTCTTTATACGATGCCTAAAAGTATGCTTTTAAAATATACCGTAGCATACTTTTTGACTCCTTCAAAAATAATTTAATTTTTTCAAGTGGGGTGGCAATCCTGGCCTCCAGTTCAAAGCTGCTGGCTTCCTTTGTTTCCGTTTTTGACGCTCAGTTGTTGCTGTGCGCGCTCCCACGTTCGAGGCTAACGGTAGATTCCGCTTTGCGCTGAGATTCGCATTTCGCCACCCCCATTTCCCACCCCGCATCCGCATATCCTGCTGCTGCTGTTGTTGTTGTTGTTTTCTATATGCCTCGATTTTTCGGGCTAACAACAATTACAGCGGTTAAATTGTCTAATTTTCATATCCTTCGAGTGTTTGCTTTACCGTTTTCAAGTTTAAGCTGCAAACGGAAGAAAAAAGAGAGAGTGGCGTCACACGAAAAGAAAATTTTCTTTGGCGTCGTCGAGGTGTTTGTATATGTGCTAGTGTGTGTGTGTGTGCTGGAGCTCTCTCGTGTGTTTGTGTTAGTCAGTGTGGTGTGCAGGAAAATTAATAATACAACAATGAGTTAGCAACAAATTCTCCCTTTCGCTTTCCCGCAGCAGCAGCAGCAACAACAACAGTCGCAACGCACAAAAGCATGCTACGCTAAATTGCATTTGGCGTCTGTCAAGGACAAAACAAAACGCTGTCTGTGTGAGTGCAGCCACAACAACAAGAAACAATAGCAACAACAGCATGTGGCACAAATAACGGAACAGCAAAGTATCAACAGCAGAGGAAGAAAGGAAAAAATAGATAGGAAAACAAAACAAAAGACAGGAACAAATCACACACACGAGGGCAAAGACAAAGAAAAAAACAAACGGAGGCTGCAAAAAAACAAAATTTAAAAAAGGGAGAGGCAAACACACACATATTTACTACCCCGCCCTCCCCTTCACATCCGCCACCCAGGACATTTGGCGCCAGCTCGGGCAGCGACTGCGACGTCGACTGAGGCAGCGGTGGAGCACCATGTGTCTCCATCCCTCTCACGCTCACACGACCGCGCTGCAGTGGCTCCTGCTCTCCTTGTCCCTCTTCTTGGCGCTGCTGCCAGCGAACGTAAGTGCCTTACATTTCGTCAATGTTGCAAAAACAAAAGCTAAAAAAATTTAAGTTCGCTGGAAAAAGAAATATAATTCCTCATTTTAAGATTTTGAATTTGGGAACAGTATATTTTTATCCCTTCCCAATTTTAAAGGCTTTTTTAACAAAATTATAATATTAAATTAACTTATATTTATGAAAAGAGAATTTTCCATTATAAGCCCTATAAACTGTTTACAAAAATATTATAGAGAACATTTTACTTCGGTTTGCCTGTCTTCAATCAACTAAAAATAAAATGTAGAAAGAAAGAAAACACAGGTGCATCAATGTTGCATGCACTCTTGCATTTTAATTTAATTGCGATTGCATTCCCAACGGCAGTAAATGCATTTAATATTTCCACATTTTTTCAATCCTTAAAACAGACAAATAAATAAAAACACAAAAACAAAGAGTCATAACAGTGGGCACTAACTAAGTTCAACTGTCAAAATTTATATACTTTTAAAGCACTTTTTATGTTTTTGTGTTTGGGAAGTTGTTTATTTCGTTTATTATATTATTATGTAGGGACAGAAAACTTAAAAATATCTAGGCAAATTAATTGGAAATTTTTAGCAATCAATGGCATTGTCTTGAAGTGTACTGAATTTATTGCACTATTTTAAATAGTATTGTTATGATTGATAATTGAGCAAAATTCTGAAGAATTCGCTATAAGGTTTTGTGTAATTTTATAATTGAGTGTTAATTTTTAAAGGTCTGAATTTTTTACACATTAAAATAAAATAAAGGGGCCAAGAATTATGACAATTTTTAACAAATATGTTATATTTTTTACAGGTGACGGCTAGATTTTGCGAGGGCTGCAGTCAGGGATGTTGCACCCAGGGCTGCTGCCCACCGTACCAGGGCGGGCCACGCCCCCTGCCGCCCTCCTCGGACTCGCACGTTCTCAATCTGTTCTTCGCCACCCACTGGTTTTTCTGGTAAGTTTGATCATATGATCATATCATATAGGTAATATAGGTAGACCTTCGGATAAAGTAAAAGCCTGTTTTTTTTAAATCTCTTCAAGTTCCATATATTTTCTTCTTAGATTCCGATTATTTTAATTGCAGTAAGAGTGATTTATTTATTTACTACGATAGTATGTACATTTGGCCATGGTCATGGTTGCATTTGTTTTTCTTTTTGGGGATTCCCCGGAGGTCGCCTGCAAGGCCGTTCAATGGGGGGCGTTGGGTGGTGGGTTGTGGGGTACTGGGTACTGGGTCGGACTTCCAGCTGATTGGCATTGTGTGCCATGCGAGATATTATTATTATTGGCAGCAAAGGTGGCGCCCAGCGCCGGGGTTGCGTCAAGTCAAAAGTCGAGTCAAGTCGAGAGGCTTATGCAAGCTGTACCACCCCCTACCACCCCCGTTTCCCTCCCTTGGGGGCCGTGGAAATGGCAATGCCAACTAATGAGACACAAGCGGAACCCGCCCGCCACCCTGCTCATATAATCCCATCTCTCGGCCACCGAAAAGGCAAACAAATTTCAGTCGGAATTCGATTACGGGCACAGCAGGACACGGATCCGTACATCCGCATATCCGCATCCGCATCCGGAACCGGCCAAATGGGCTTCTTCATTCAGTCGCGCCAGCTGCAAACCGAGCAGTGAATGATCCTCACTTTCTCACCTTCTAAAAGAAATAAACAAAATATTTTTACTAAAGATCAGTCAAAAAAATTGATAATCTTTTGACTAGTGACGAAATCAGTGCTTAGCTAAAGCCTTTAAAATAGCTAGAGACTAGACAAGAAATTTGGAGGCTATAGCTTTAGTAGTTTGGGATCTGTATTTGACTTGCAAAATTGAAAAGACACTTTTATATGAATAGAATTTTGATACAATACATTTTCCCTGCAGGTGCGTTGTGGTTGCCATCATCTTGGCCATCCTGTGTGCCTACTCGCTATGGAAGAAGCGGCGGACCCTGTGCGGCTGGGGCTTCAATGAGCACCACACCCAATCCGAGGGAGATTCGGCCGGTTCCTGCTATGCTCCGCCCCAATACAGTCGCTGCAACTCGTTTCACCATCCGCCGCCGCCCTACACGGAGGTAATTATTATGGGAATGGATTGGATTTATCCAGGAAATATAATTTCAAAATTTAAAATACCCTCAGGTGACCTCCAAACCGGACCTGTATCCGCTCGTCTTCACCTGCAACAGCGACTCGGGCAACGGCAAGGGCAACGGCAGCTCCAGCTACCTGATGGTCCAGTACTTCCGCAACTACATTGTCCGGCCGGCGGCGGGCGGTTCCCTGAGCGCCGCCAGCACCGTCGACTCCCTGAGCTCCAGCTTCATCTGCAACGCGAACGAGGCGAACACCCTGGTGCCGCCGCCCTATTCCCGGGCAGCCAGTCCGGAGCTGGGACTGCATCACTACGTGGCCCATGCCCATGCCCATGGCCATGGCAACAGCAGTCACCTCCGATCGATGGAGCAGCCTGTGCCGGCAGGTGCTCCGCTGGCCTCCGTGCACTACGCCATGCCGCGATCGGCCTCCCAGCTGGTGGAGACGGACGCCTATCAGCCGCGACTGATGCCCGCCCAGCAGGCGGCGCAGCACTACGCCACCGTGGCACTGGGCAGTGCTCCGGGCGGAGGGCCGCTCTACAGCACCCGGCTGCACGCCTCCCACGAGGAGGGAGTGGGAGTGGGCATGGGCGTGGGCGTGGGCTACCTCCAGTCGCAGAGCGATCAGCACTTCCGGTACATGGCCAACAGCAGCAGCAGCCTGAGCGACATCTTTGTGAACACCAGTTGTGTGGCAGGTGGGTGTCGGATAACGCAAATTCTTAAGCGTATCTTTTAGCATTTAATTTGCATAGTTCAAATCAGTGTGTATTTTTGGTGTAAGACCATTTTTGGCCAAGTAACAGCAAAAAAACAGACAAACAAAATTCACATTTTACCAAAAATCCAGAATCTAATTTTTCACAAAAAAATAGTTCGTAATAGTCCGTAACAATGGAAATATTAATCCAAATATAGATTGTCATACCTTTCTGAACTCGTTGTTAAATTTCCTATCGATTAACATTTAAACCTTGACATTTTATTTATTTTTAATTTTTCGCAAAAAATCATGGGGTAAATTTTATTTTTCCAAGATCACCCGGAAAGTGTCATGGATTTATTTATTACTTTGTTATCTGTTCAAAACACCGCGAATTCTTAAGCATAAGAGAAACAAGTTTAATCCAGGTTGTTTTTTATATACATTTATAGAACTAAAGAAGTTTTTCCCCACGTGAACTTTGTGGTTTTGTTTTGGACTAATTGGCCTAAAAAATATATTGTATTATAATTTCATTTGACTTAAATCGCTTTAAATAACTTTAAACGCGAATTCTTTAGCTAAAGAGAAACTACAGATCACTCAAAAACAATGTGAAAGTGAAGCGAATTCTTTAGCATAAACTAGAGACAATAAACTTTCAGGCTTTGGTCTTGGAATAACAAACCTAATAAATATATTCCTCTTACTAACAATTGTAAATAAATTATTAATAATAAATAAATAACTAATTCCACCTTGCAGGAATGCTGCCAGAAAGTGGAGGACCAGGCGGTGCCGCCCAGGGCGTGGAGAGTGGAGCAGCCACGCAGGCGGCCTCCCTGAACAGCCTGGCCATGGGCGGCCTGGGCGGATCGGTCACCGGCGGCACCGGGGCCTCCGGAGGAGCCGGCACCCCGGTGATATACAGCAACGGCTGCATCCAGCCCAATCCGCTGCACAGCCTGGAGAACTGCTGTCAGCCGTCGGCCCAGGTGTCCGGCGTGAGCAGTCTGGCCAACATCGGGACGCCGGGATCGCCGCCGCAGGCCACCAGTCCGACGGGCGAGGTGCGCGAGATTCTCGACCAGATCCGCCAGCTGCAGGCGGGCGTCAGCTACGAACAGCTCCTGCTGAGCGGAGCGGGCGGCGGGGCCAAGCCGCGGCTGCAGCACACGCTGTCGACGCCCTCGAACTCCCAGCAGGTGCTGCAGCCCATCCTGACCACATCCGCGTCCATTTCCGGCGGCAGCAGTGGGCGGAGTAAAAAGTTCTTCACCTCGGGCAGCAGCAAGGCGCAGCCGAACAAGGCTCTGTACATACCGATGGCGGCCATCGGAGGCTCCTCCGGCTCCGGTTTGGGATCGGGATCGGGATCGGGAGCGCAGCGCTGCGTGCTGAAGAGTCCGGTGAGCAGTGTGGTCAGCGGGGCCAGCTTCTTTGTCAACCGGGGACGAGTGGCGCGCAAGGGCTGGATCACCCGATCGGCGCCCACCACTCCGGGCAGCGCCCTGCCCCCCAATCGCCTGGGCGACGACAGTCCGCTGCTGCTCAACGAGCACGACGAGGAGGAGGAGGAGGAGCAGGAGCAGCGGGATCGGAATCGAAATCAGGAGGATACCGACACCGAAACGGAGGCGGAGGCCAGGAACCATCGTCGCCAGCATCGCCATCATCGCAGTAAAGGCCATCGCAGCCATCGCCATGGACAGCTTGAATAATAGTGGGCGTGGTCGTTGGAATCGCCAGTGTCATTTAGTAGTTGTTGTTGTAGCTCAAGGTTCTCCTTTAGAAATAAGCTTTTAAACGAAAGTGGAGAAGGCTTTTGGGGGCCGGCAGCACGCTTCTTAGTCTGAGGAATCCCGAGTTCCGTTTGTAGTTCTTATAATTTAGTACCTCTAATTTGTATGGTTTTTTAAAGTTCTTAAAAGTTTCGTTAAGAAAATGGCTAACTTTCAAAAATATATGGGCACTTCCAAATAAAAGTCCACCAAGCCAAAAACCTTGAAACTTGAATAAAACATATTTCCAATTGATTTTGCGCCGATATTAGTTTCTAATTAGTTGAATACTGAGCTTAACTACAAATTTGGAGTATAGTTTGATTATTTTTATGACAAACCCCACCAATATACGCAAAAATCAGTTTTTGGCTATTTTTTTGATATTTTTTGGACCTGTCTTCTGTTGTAAATTTATCCTATAGGAATGCTAATATGTGACATTTTTCTGTACTGAATGCTTCATTCACATGCTAAACTATTAAGTTAAATGCAAAACATCCAGCAATTGAGAGATAGAGGTAAAGAAATCCGCTATACAAAACAGTCGGAAAAAATGTCCCGAGCGACATGTCCCGAGCGAATGTGGTTGAAACTGCATAAAAAAAAAACGGCAAAGAATTTTTGAGTAAAACCAAAAGCATTTCACAGCGACATGTTTGAACTACATTCTAAAAAAAATCGCATTCAAATATTCCATCAGAATTCGCTAATTTCTGGTGTTGTATGAACTTCCCCGAAATCCACTTCTATTTTTGTCCCGAGCGAATACGGCAGTTTTTTTACCGATATCTTAAAAACTAAAAGTGGTACAAAATCAAGATTTTTACCAAAAATAGAGCTTGGGAAGAGTGAAAAGAAAATTTTTTACAACTTTAAAGGTGTGCAAATGTCCCGAGCGACATTTTGGAAGTGCCCATATATTTAAATTTCCAAATTAATATTATTACCAAAGACCATTTGTAAGATTTCTACGGGGAAAACATTTTTAAAACTTTTCAATTATAATCAAATTTAAAATTTTGCTACTTTTGCAAGCAGTATTATTTGCAATGTGAAATGTAAGGCAGTAAGTCAGTTAAATGTAAGAACATATAGAATAGGCTAACAATGTTTTGTGAAATTTTAAACTGAAAGAAAGACGTTAAAGAAAGATGTTAAACTTTGATTAACATTCTCCAAGAGTTCCGACAATAGTTCAATAAAACTATCCATTATTTCATCAAGCAGTATTATTAACCAAACCTACCAGAAGTATATGCTTATTTATACCCACGAGATTACTCATTTCTATTTAAAATTTAAAATTCGAAATGTCTGTTTGTTGAGCTTCCGTGGTTAGATAAACAATTTAGATATACAAATAGCTGTCATTAGGTTCGAATAGTCTAGCGATTGCGAGATAGAAATATTTAAATGAAACATTCAAAATTTGCAAAAAGCTGCGAAGGTTTCAAGACATTCGATGACTTTGATTTTCAACCTTTAACGATTAAAGCTTTTAGGAAGTATCCTTCAATTTCAGACTTACCGAAACAGATTTTATAAAACCTTTATTTAAAGTTTGCTTGGAAACTTAAAAAAAAGAGGAAAAATTGCACAAAAGATTTAAATCAATATAGGGTATGTGGTATTAAATTAAAAACAAAAAAAACCCAAGAAAACCAAAAAGAGCAAGTAAATTAAAAGGAAAGAGAGCCAGTTTTGTCGCCTAGATGGAGATTTTGTAAGTAAATAGTTAAGATTATAAGAATTTGTTCACACACCAATAATAATAAAGCAAACTCGTCACGTACTTCAGTTCAAGGAAGTCCCCCTGAAAAAGCTTATGTGAAATATGCAAAACTGTGCAGGCATTCGGTTGGAAATTAAGGCACAAGCACTAGACGGAAAATCTAAATTAAATTATCTCTAAACATAAAATACCAAATGAGACTAAGGGGTCACGATCCGGGGAATAAAAGGAAAAGTTTGAATGCAGCAGTGCCTTTTCAACTACATAAACCACAAGTTTGGGTCATTTAAAGATACAAGATGGAACCAGAAAATAGAGCTAACTCATCCGAGACAGAAACAGAAATCAGAAAACAGAAACAGACACGAAAGAAAACAATCCAATGGACAAGGCAATATTTATAGATCCGCTTAGACATTAGATATATGATAACTACCCGTATGTGTATGTGACAATTACTTTAAGTGAATTTTACAATTCATTGATATTGATTGATATTTTCCTTAGATGGTTTCGTTGGGTCCTTTGTCGATCGGTTTTTCTGGCTTATTTAAACACGATCCCGTTCGAATATCTGTGCTTCAATACATATACCTATATAATTAAACAATTAATTAATAAACTAGCATAGTGAAACTGAAGGCGTTCAAGGCATAAATCTCCAAAAGCAAGTGAATTGTTGTAAAGTCGGATAACGAAAACAAAGCAGAACTAAGAAGGCAACTTAAGTCAAATATACAAATTCAAGAATTCAGCTAAAGTGTGTTTACTTTTTTATTGCCCTGTAGAGGGTATTATAATTTTATACCTGAATATTTTTTTTTTAGATTTCACACCATTTAAAAATATATAAAAATTAAAAATTCCCACGTTTGATTAAAACTCTCGTCCATATTCCAACTTATTTATTATCATATATATTTATATATTTATTATCTTATAAGCTCGCACAATAATCTTCAACAGGGCTTGAACTTTGAATCGGTAAGATTTACAAAAAGTCTAAACAACAAACAATTGACTATATATAGGGGGACGCCTAATCTTAATACAATAGTAATGCTTGACCATAATCTGCCATCGACTGCGAAAGAAATGATAAGCTGGCTAGATTTCTAAATTCGTACGTAATGCTAATCAGTTTATACACTCATATATAATCGTAACGAGTACTCAGGAACCGGGAAAAGATAGTTGGGTCTGAGCGATCCTTGAAATGAGCTACTGAATGGTATTTTCACTTGATTTCTACCTCAAAACGATATCATTTGATATTAAAAGGGTTCGATTTTAAAGAGAATTATAATCTTATACCCACTTCTTTTTCGTATATTTTACTATTTTATTTTATTTTATTTAACGAAACATTAATACCGAACTTAGTTAGATTTTATGTTTGTGTACCTATTTACACCATATATTTTTGTTTAAGGTTTTATGGATTATCAGGATCTTTGAGAAAAGCAGACCCTTAAAAATAGTTTCTTATAAGTATTTTTTATATTGTTATTTTATATTATATGTTTTTAGATAATCTTTATATTTAAATTACAATTAAAATATATATTCATATCAGGATGATCTCTCCAAGGATCAAAACGATCCCAAAGGCATATAAATTTATTTTAAAAATTCATTATATAGTCTGATGGACTACTGGGACTCCATATACTAGAGGTGTAGGGTGTAGACCACCGGGGGGATCAAAGAGCCAACTTCGCAGGCCGCTCTCAGTGATCCGCGAGTAGTTTTCGACCAGACCTCGACTCGACCGCAATGGACACCTTGCTGGCTGGCTGGACGCAATCCGGGGACTTCCTGCAGGACAAGTGGACCTCTCTGCTGGACACCGTGGGCGAGGATGCGTGGCGCCTGTGGGTGGTGGGCAGCACGCTGGTCATCTTCTCCGTCTACTGGCTCTACGCGGGCCTCTTCACGCTGATGGACATCACGAATCGTCCGCGCTTCCTGCGCAAATACAAGATCCAGCCGGGCCAAAATGAGCCAGTGGATCTGGCCAAGCTCTGGAGCGCCGTCAAGATCGTCCTGCTCAATCTGACGGTGGTCAACTTCCTGGCCTGCTGGGCGGTATACGAGCTGGTCTACAAGACGGAGAACAGCCAGGACATCCGGGAGCTGCCCACCTTCAGGAGATCGCTGCGCGACCTGGCCGTCTTTGTGGTTCTGGAGGAGATCATGTTCTACTACGCCCACCGGCTGCTCCACCACCGCTCGGTGTACAAGTATGTCCACAAGAAGCACCACGAGTGGACGGCCCCCATCGCCGCCATCACGCTTTATGCTCATCCCGTGGAGCATGTGGTGGCCAATCTGCTGCCGGTGGCCACCTCCATCGCCCTCCTGGGCACCCACGTGGCCCTGGCCTACGTGATCTTCGCCCTGGCCATCGTCAACTCGATGAGCGACCACACGGGCTACAGCTTCCCCTGGTCGGCGGGATCGGTGCGGTTCCACGACTACCACCATGCCAAGTGGGTATCCTATGTGTGTTCCTTGCCATGGTCATAATCCTCTCGTTATCCCCTCTTCTCTTCCAGGTTCAACTACAATTACGGAGTGCTCGGCCTGCTGGACAAGCTGCATGGCACATATCGCACTCCTGCGGACCAGAAGAAGGCTCCTGTGTCCAGGATAAAGAAGTCCAAGAAGAAGTCTAGTTAGTCCCAGTCTCCCGTTTATTTGTTTTTTATGTTTAGCAGCACATATTTTGTTTTTTTTTTCTAGAGAAAATAATAAAATTAATGTTTAAAAATCGAATTATTCTAGTTTGACATTATAAAATCAAGAACACAAAACTAGTTTATATTTTTTAAATTTTTAATTTTAAGTTTTCAAGAAGAAGAATTATTTTATATATTAAAAGTGTATTTTTAAAGGTCCTATAAAAGGGTTCATCAGATGATCTTGTATAAAAATTGTACCAGGATTTGACGCTATATTAAATTATGAAACTATTTTTTTTATTGCATATATCATAGCCTACAAATTTCAGAAAAAATTATTAAACAATAAGACCTCTTTATAAAAGCCAAATAAAACTTTAAATATTTATAAAGAGGAGATAGTTGCCTAGATTTGTTGCTCCCAAAATGTTACTAACCATTTTTACAACCTCCGATTTAATGTTTGGATCTTGAGTTCAGATTTAAGTAGTGCCCTCCCCAAATGGCTGGTTTATTGCTGATGGTGCGCACCTGTACGAAAAGTGCTTATCGCCGCAGAGACCCCCCTCCTTATCGGCGGGCGAATAAAACGATAAAGTCGAAAATCGAGGCGTTCTCTACAGATATGGGTTTATTGGGTGTCGCGGAGCAGGGCGCCGTCGTCCAGGCCGGCGATCCACTCGCAGATCCTCTTGAAGAACTCGGCGTCCGCCAGCTCGATGATGCGCACGTTCTCCGGATTCTTGCCCCACTCCCGCAGGTGATCGAGCACCATCTGGCCACGGGTGTGGGTGCCCCGCAGGTCGACGGTGGCGTGCCAGGTGCTGTGCCGCCGGATCAGCCGGTCCTCGAAGAGCCAGGCGGCCACCACGATGGCGTCGCAGGGGTTCCACGTGTCGAACCCGAACTGCTCGATCATCGGCAGCCACTGGGCGGCCTCCACCTGGTTGAGCATGGTGATCGCCGGATGCCCGGCTTCCTTGGCCCTGGCGGCGAACTCCTTCAGGCGCCAGTTCTGTAAGGGATTAGGTGCCATTATATATGTGTTACTATTATTATTATTACTATTACAATTATTAAATAATAATATATTTAACTGATTATCGTTTAAAATTATTAAAATATGGTGAATTGTATAGGTACAAAAGTGGAATTAATGCCCGAAAAAAATTAAATATAAAATCATCAATATTTTAATGATATTATATTGAGTTCTCAAAAAAACTATATTGTTAAGGACTTAAAAAAACCTATCTTTATAAAAAATCTTAAAGAAATAATCTCAAAACAAATTCTTTTTTCGTAAAACCTAAAACATGTTATTTAATACACAAAAAGCTTGGTAAAATCTTGAAAGAAAATTATAAAGTGTACATCTTTAAGAATTTATAGGGCTCTGCCATATAATATGATTTATGTAGTTATCTAAAGTCACGAAAGAATTAAATCAGTTTATGTGTGGCAAGCAAAAATGTGTACTCTAAGCAAACAATTCGTATAATATCTTAATATCTATGTTTATCTGGATGGCCAGATAGCTGGGAAAACCCGAGGATGTGCCGTACTCACAATGGGTATGTTGAATCTATCCGGGAGACAGGGCTCCCATGGCAGGACGGTGACGGGACAGCGGGTCTTCAGCAGCACCGTGTACGCCGCCTCCGGATCCGAGTGGAAGTTGAACTCCGCGGAGCGCGAGGAGTTGCCCACGCCCTGGTAGTTGCCGCCCATGATGAACAGGTCGCGGAAGTTCTTCCCGAACCCGTCGCCGTACATCGTGTAGCCCAGGGCGAGATTCGTCAGGGGACCGACGGCGAAGAGGGTGATCTGCTTGGGCCTGGCGCGGCAGAGGTCGTGGATGGCGGTCACCGCGTGCTCCGGCCGCACGATCTCCTCCAGCGGAGCGCAGTCGTCGGCCGAGAGGCAGTCCCCGAATCCGTCGCGGCCATGGAAATACTTCTTGTGTTCCGTGGAGGGAATCAGGGGATGCACGGCGCCCAGGTAAATGGGAACCTGCAATTGGTGGGTATTTGTGAGTCAGATTCGGCGAAAAGTAAATATAAACTTAAGTTGGGATAACACTAGTTCATAAAATAAATTTCTAATCAGTTTTATATCTAGAATATATTATAAAATAATGTTTGATATTGCAATAATTGATCCATATTTCAAGATATTACAGTACATTTTACTCTATTATGAATTTCAAACTAATATAAAATGAATACTTATATTATCAGATTAAGGTACGAAGATCTTTATAAACTACATTACATTAAAGCTAAAGTGTCTTTGTTGCTAGATTCAAAAAGATTCCGGAGACAGCCCTAATTGTTATGATTTCTTTGTTGTATTTTATATATTATATGTACACAAATAAAATGATATGATTCAGTATTTAATGTTTACGAATTGTTGTGAAATTTTTAGAGTATACGAAATCTATATAAAATACATAAATAATAGAGTTATACCATTTTATGTTTCCAGAATAAAGTTGCTTAAAATTGGTTTGTAAATAAATTAAAAAAGAAATTCTATTATTTACATTTTCCATTTAATTTCAAAACAAGAAAAGGAAAATTTTAAAATATTTTTTTCTGAAGCTTATATTTTTCCCTTTTCTATATTTTCTTTCTGTGCACTTGAATTTATTCTTATTCATATTTATATTTACGTCTGTGCGCTTGCAGGCATCCAGAATGCGTCGCATGTTGCGGGCCGCGTTCTCCCGACTGGTGTTGCCGCATCCCATGGTGGTGACGGCCAGGAGGTGGATCCCGTGGCTCTCGGCCGCATGGAGCAGCAGGAGCAGGGCCCAGGCGTCGTCGCTCCCGCCATCGCAGTCGAGGATCGCGTACCGGGGGGATGATGTGCCTCCTCCACTGCCGTTTTTCACTGTGCGTCCGTCCGCCATCGCCGGCAATTGGTGAATGTGCGCGAACGGCGGACTACGGACTACCCATATGCAATACACATACGGCAATCATCTGTTCGCCGCCGGACATCGTCTATCGGCTGTGGGTTCTCTGGGTTCTAGTGGTACTGGTACTGGTACTGGTACTGGGGCACTACATTACCAGAGTGCCGTATCATGGAATTTCATAACGCTCTCGCCTGCCTTTTCACATTTCCCATTTCACATGCGGTGCGCGATATGTCGACTCTCGACTGCCGACCATGTGTGCAATTCATATCTGCGCTGTATTTCACGTTCGTTCTGGGCGAGAGCGGGACAAACGGATAAGATGTGTGGGAACACTGTCACCTATAAGGTCGCCGGCCAAATACCCTAACTTTCGAACCGCTTTTAGTACTGAGATTTTTCAAATTATAGGATAATATGATAACGATTTATTTGCAACCTTAAAATAAATGGTCAAATATTTAAGCCTGCTAATAAAAAAAAAATGCTAATTCTATTGTAACTTCTGCCTTATCAATGGACAATTCCAGGAATCCGTTGAAATAGGGAAGAATTTTTCAAAATTTACAATTTAATTCAATGAATGATTTATTTGCAACCTTAAAATAAATGATCTAATATTTTAGCCTGCTAATAAAAAATAAAATGAATATTTTTAGAATGCAAGAAGAGCTTTAAAATAAAATAAGGTGACAACTCTGGTTTGCAATAATGCAAGATCATCTAGCTAATTCTATTGTAACTTCTGCCTTATCAATGGACACTTCCAGGAATCCGTTGAAATAGGGAAGAATTGTTCAAAACCCAGAGCAAATTAAATTCTCAATTTAATTCAATGAATGATTTATTTGCAACCTGCCTGCTAATAAAAAATAAAATGAATATTTTTAGAATGCAAGAAGAGCTTTAAAATAAAATAAGGTGACAACTCTGGTTTGCAATAATGCAAGATCATCTAGCTAATCGTACTGGAACTTCTGTTAGACATTCCAGAAATCCGTTGAAATAGGGAAGAATTTTTTAAAACCCAGAGCAAATTGAATTCACAATTTAATTCAATAATTCCCGGAGGCGGGATCCGAGATCCGAAGGGCAACTGGAACCACTATTGTAACCAGCATGGTAATCAAGTTGCGGCAGGTCGTCGCGATAATAACGAACCATAATGAGAATCGTCGGACGTCGCCCACTTGCGACACTTGAATTAATCTAGATTCTAGAATGCCAGACGCAGACGGGAGGTACATCTTATAAATGTACTTACAAACCTACAAACAATCCATACATGTAGGAAAATGAGCGTGGAACACCCACTTAAGTCGTTAAACGCCTTTGCTCTATTTGCATAGTCTTTTTTGATTAACGACCGTTGCGATAGAGTAAACTATACGAAAGTTTGCTTTACATTGCACACCTAAAATGGGAAGGAGATTAAAAAACTCCCGTATTTTGTATATTTTGTTCTAATTTCGAAAGGGCAAAATAATATTCAGTTATTTGAAAATTTTGTATTTAATATTTAGACATTTTTAGAACTAAGTCGTTGATTATTTTGATAATTTGTAAAATTATTAATATAAAAAACGAATAATAAAACAAATAAATATATATATTAGTAAGTAAAAAAAACTTAAATATCTTGTAAGCTAACGGAATCCAAAAATAATGGTTTAATTTGGAAAGAAATTCAATATTTAGTTATGAAAGCACAAATAGAAACCATTTGTATTATTTTTAAATTTATTTATTCTATTTATTTATAAGAATTCCTAGAGCAACAAGCTGGAGCTTAAAATTTATAGCACTAGTTACTAACATTTTTTATTATCACGTTTATAAAAATATTCCATATGAATATTCCATTTATTTATAGGAATTCCTAGTGCTACAAGGTGCAGTTTATATTTTGGAGTAGTAACATTTTACATTTACACGTTTATAAAATTAATATCTTTGTTAGCATTTGTATATATTTTTATTTATTTTTAAAACTTAAGTACTTTTATTAACACCTGTTAGGTTGCAATAACAGCGGCTTGCAATTTCACCACTCGGGAACAGCTGGACTTACAGAAGGCAAACTCACCACTCTACTTTCCAGATGTTTGTAATTGAAAGATCTAGCAGGTAAGTTTACTTAAATATATCTAAATAACTAAGGTAAAATGTTTATTTTATTGCAGAATTGAGGCGGGGAGTGTGCAGGGCAGTCTGCAGATCCTATCAAAAAGATCTATTATAATGCCGAACCCAAAGAGGACCCCGTGTGACTTTCACCTGTGATAAGTGATTAGTGATAAGTGATAAGAGGCAACCCACTAAGCTAAATACTAAATACTACTACCTAATATTCGGTGGCAACGATGGGAACCACCGGCCATTCGCCAGCGAAGCGATAGTAATCGATAGCAGCGAGCAGTTTTGTTTTATTGCCGAAAATCTCGCCATGGAGAACAAGAATCGCCTCGTGGTCTACGACTGCGACATCGGAACCGACGATGCCTGGGGCCTGGCCATGATGCTGCGGGCGGAGGAGGTGCTCCTGCCGGGCGGCCGGCGCTCCAAGGTGGTGGCCATCACGACGGTGAACGGGAACACGGACGTGGAGAACGGGACGCTGAATGCCCTGCGGGTTCTGCACACCCTGAACAGGCGGGATGTGAGTTTGTGATCCTTTAAAGAAACTATCCACTATCTACATCCCTTCCTTTGGCAGGTGCCCGTTTTCAGGGGCTGTGCCGACTCCATTGTGCCGCGCACCTGGCAGTACACCTACCGATTCCACGGGCAGGACGGCTTCCACGATGTGGGCAACTATCCGGAGGTGAATCTGGAGCAGGAACTGCAGCCGGAGCACGCCGTCAATGCCATGTACCGCCTGGCCAGCGAGAATCCCGGCCAGGTGGACTTTCTGCTCTGCGGCCCGCTGACCAACTTTGCCAATTGCATAAATTTGTATGGCAGCGCGTTTCTGGACAAGATCGGCGGCGTCTACATAATGGGCGGCAACATCTTCGGCAAGGGCAACGTGACCAAGAGCGCCGAGTTCAACTTCATGATGGATCCCGAGGCGGCGCACATCACCCTGGAGCGCCTGCGTCGGCCGGCCCTCATCCTGCCCTGGGAGCCCTGCATCGACGGCGAGCTGGGCGTGACCCTCGACTGGCGCCTCAACGTCCTGGGCGCCGTCGAGCATCCCTTCGTGGAGCTGCTGACCCGCGCCGAGCGCTCGATGCTGGAGCCGCGCGGCTTCGTCAAGTGGATCAGCTGCGACTCCCTGCTGACGGCCGCCTACCTCTTCCCGGAGGCGATGATCGACGACCAGCGGGACTACTACGCCACCGTGGAGCTGAGTGGCCTCCACACCCGTGGCCAGATGGTGCTGGATCACCTGCGCGGCCGCACGGTGGACGCCACCCATGGGAAGCCGAGCAATGTGCGCGTCGTGAGGCGCCTCAAGGGCGAGCATTTCCGCACGATCATCGGCTGGACGGGATTCCTGCCCAACACCGATGTCGCACATCTTTGTGTCTGATATATCTATAGTAATACATGTGTATATTATGAAGATAAAACCATGTCTTTAATTTTTTCGAGAATATTTAGGTACTAAGAGTACCAGACAATAAGTTATTTGTTAGCTGGGAACCCTGACTACCTTAATTTTAGTGGTTTAGATTCTATTAGTCTACCCAATCCACATCAAACTACAAGGTTTATATATTGTATATATTTCCTTCTACAGAGGTGTATAATCAGTGTTCCTTTAAATCGATCCGATGCGAGTGTTCAAATTCACAATGTGCCATAAATCTACATACATTTCTAAAAACAAAATATTTTTATATCGCCCAAGAGTGTTTTTTTTAGTTTTGGGAAATTTACGTAAACTCCTCAATATTATAAAACTTTAAATCGTTTTTTATTCTTTTTAATTTGCTCATTTTATTTATCAACAAAACTTTACAGCTATGATAGAAGTTGCCTCTAAAATTGCTGTCCAAATAAATTTAGCGTAGCATTAAAAATGAATAGTTTTAACGTTTGATTTCTAAAGTGTATAAAATTGTTTTGGTTTTTTTTTTTTTGGGTAAGGTGTATACAAAAAAATTAATGTATAAGTACCTAACGATGATAATCAATCGAGCTTCTTGGCAAACAGTTGCAAGCTATGATATTGAATTTAAGGTTTTTTTTGCGTCTGGTCTAATTTGTCCACATATTATATAATTGACGTTTCTAATTAGTTTTTTTTATAACACAGTTCGCAGTCTGCGATTGTAAACATAGAGGAAACGAATTTATCTTAAATATTAAACATACAGTGCGTTTTAAAGGTGCAGCTCTTGGAAATATTGACATAGTTTATTTTGGATTTTGTTTTTATATTTTAAAGAGTACAATTTTTCATAAAACAATATCTGAAACCAAATACTGTTGTGCTTGTTTTCCCATGTTTAGTTTAAAGAAATATTGTTCACCCTTCACACGCACTGCACACAACCAACAACACAACAAGTAATTATTTTTTGTAGAGCCAGAAAAATTGTGATTTATCTAACTAAATGTGTGGCAAAGAACTTGCCTAGTTTGTTTCGCATTAATTGTAGTACAAATTGTTTAAACTTTGGACAGACGGACAAATAGTTTGTCCAGGTTTTTTACTTGAGCATAAGACAAGATTAAAGACTTTAAGATAAGGCAAACTGGAAAGACCCTAAAAAAGCTGACTATATCGAAAAGGATTTTTCAAAAACGGATCTATAGGGAGGACGCTTTAAGTATGACTACGCCTAGGCCTACGCATATGGATTTTGCATATATACAGGATAATGTCTTTTGCTGCGGGTTAATAATAAAGCTACGTTTTTAGTGATTCAAGTCTGTCAAGTGCTGCACATAACATGTATAATATTAGTTCGATCTAGAAGGAGGTTGCCTATGATGTAAATAACATTTAGGACTTATTAAGATACAAAGGTATTAGAAGCCCTTTTTTCAAATCCTTATTAGTAATTGTAATCAATTTTATTTTTATAAAATAAATTTTAATTTTACAGAACACAAACGAAATTATTTTAATTTAATTTACAATATGGTTTGCATAAATACGGATGGTAATTTTCAATAAATGTAAAACAATATACTTAAATATTTCATAATTTTTCGGAAGTTTTGAGCTGATAGTTTATATGTTTATAGATTTAGTTCATCACTGGGATCGTAATCAATATACCATTAAATATACAATGAGCTCACAATTCTGAACCAATTGGGAAATATTTTAATACAATGTTTTTAGAAGTTGAAAATCAGTTAACAAGAAAGTGAATATTTCTATAATTACCACCATAATAAAAAAACAATAAAAATGTATAGAAAAGGACTATCCGTGTTTATACAAATCAAAAGCATTAACAACCGATATATTTACTTCTGAGGATTTGATCAAATCAACAAATTTAAGGAAACATTTCTGTATGAAATAAAGGAGAGCGTTATCAAGTTACGAAAAATAGAAGGCACATAGTTGAAATTATATTTGATAGGTGATTCTAAATCATGTAAGATGCAACTTCCTAAGCACTATGATTTTCTAAGGGGCCGGGCAGCAAAAGACATCAAGCTGTGCTAATAAAAAAAAAACAGTGTATAGTTTCAGTGCTCTGCGAGTGTGCTCCTAGTGGTTCCTAGACGGGAATGCCGGTGCGGTCCTTGATCTTGCCGAGCACATTGACGTGCACCTTGGAGTAGCCGCTGGGCTTCTTGGAGAGGCCGCCGGGGGCGGCGGCTCCCGGCAGCGGCACCGCCGCCGTGGAGATGCCCACGTCGATGGAGGCGGACGCCGAGGCCGAGGACAGGGGCGAGGAGTGCTTGGAGTCGTCCAGCTGGGACGAGCGCTGCGTGGAGAGCAGCAGGTCCTCGCTGCTGGGACGCAGCTGGGCCGACGAGGGCGTGTAGATCGGCTGCAGCTTGTCCACCTCGTCGTCGATGGCCTTGAACTGCCAGCTCCAGTTGGGCCTGTACAGGAAGGGCCGGTGGTCGAACCGGTTGTCGTCCGGACTGTAGCTCTCCGCGTGCACCGACGGCGTCAGCACGGTCATCTTGTGCCGGTTGATCGCGTAGCAGCGGAAGAAGTGCTTCACCTTCTCGGCCACCTCCTTGGGACTGAGGTCGCCCTTCCAGGTGGCCACCAGGCGGCAGAACATGCTGTACGGCCCGCAGAAGGACTGCTTGCGCAGGCGCCCGTACTCGGAGAGCTCCGCGTAGGTCATGCCCATGTCCTGCTCGTCCGTCTGCTGCAGCTCCCCGTTCTCCTGCAGCGGCTCCAGCTCGGCGGTGGGCGGGGCATCGATGATCGACTCCAGCACGGGCAGGTTGAACCTGGATGGGGCAAGAGGGGTTCAAGGGGTTAGCAAAGTAATACTCATTATTTCCATTGTGACGGTCAAAAACGAATTATCTTTTTTGGAAAATCGAGATTTCAGTTTTTGACAAAAATTGGAATTTTTCTTTTGGTTTTTTTGCTGTAACTTGGCCAGAAATGGTCCTACACCAAAAATACAAAAATTGGAATTTTTTCTTTTGGTTTTTTTGCTGTAACTTGGCCAAAAATGGTCCTACACCAAAAATTCATACTGTTTTGAACAGATAACAAAATTTGCTATAAATCCATAAAACCTTCCGTGTAATTTTGGAAAAATAAAATTTTCGCCAATTTTAAATTTTTTTATAAGGGGGTACCCCATGATTTTTTGCGAAAAATTAAAAATGAATAAATTGTCAAGGTTTAAATGCCAATCGTTAGGAAATTTAATAACGAGTTCAGAAAGGTATGACAATCCATACTTTGAATCAGTATTTGCTTTGTTATAGCGAAAAAACTGCAACGTTTTAGCGAAAAAACGGGTTTGGTTTTTTTTGGAAAATCGAGATTTCAGTTTTTGACAAAAATTGGAATTTTTTCTTTTGGTTTTTTTGCTGTAACTTGGCCAAAAATGGTCCTACACCAAAAATTCATACTGTTTTGAACAGATAACAAAATTTGCTATAAATCCATAAAACCTTCCGTGTAATTTTGGAAAAATAAAATTTTCGCCAATTTTAAATTTTTTTATAAGGGGGTACCCCATGATTTTTTGCGAAAAATTAAAAATGAATAAATTGTCAAGGTTTAAATGCCAATCGTTAGGAAATTTAATAACGAGTTCAGAAAGGTATGACAATCCATACTTTGAATCAGTATTTGCTTTGTTATAGCGAAAAAACTGCAACGTTTTAGCGAAAAAACGGGTTTGGTTTTTTTTTGGAAATTCGCGATTGCAGTTTTTGACAAAAATTGGAATTTTTTCTTTTGGGGTTTTTGCTGTAACTTGGCCAAAAATGGTCCTACACCAAAAATTCATACTGTTTTGAACAGATAACAAAATTTGCTATAAATCCATAAAACCTTCCGTGTAATTTTGGAAAAATAAAATTTTTGCCAATTTTAAATTTTTTTATAAGGGGGTACCCCATGATTTTTTGCGAAAAATTAAAAATGAATAAATTGTCAAGGTTTAAATGCCAATCGTTAGGAAATTTAATAACGAGTTCAGAAAGGTATGACAATCCATACTTTGAATCAGTATTTGCTTTGTTATAGCGAAAAAACTGCAACGTTTTAGCGAAAAAACGGGTTTGGTTTTTTTTTGGAAATTCGCGATTGCAGTTTTTGACAAAAATTGGAATTTTTTCTTTTGGTGTTTTTGCTGTAACTTGGCCAAAAATGGTCCTACACCAAAAATTCATACTGTTTTGAACAGATAACAAAATTTGCTATAAATCCATAAAACCTTCCGTGTAATTTTGGAAAAATAAAATTTTTGCCAATTTTAAATTTTTTTATAAGGGGGTACCCCATGATTTTTTGCGAAAAATTAAAAATGAATAAATTGTCAAGGTTTAAATGCCAATCGTTAGGAAATTTAATAACGAGTTCAGAAAGGTATGACAATCCATACTTTGAATCAGTATTTGCTTTGTTATAGCGAAAAAACTGCAACGTTTTAGCGAAAAAACGGGTTTGGTTTTTTTTGGAAATTCGCGATTTCAGTTTTTGACAAAAATTGGAATTTTTTCTTTTGGTTTTTTTGCTGTAACTTGGCCAAAAATGGTCCTACACCAAAAATTCATACTGTTTTGAACAGATAACAAAATTTGCTATAAATCCATAAAACCTTCCGTGTAATTTTGGAAAAATAAAATTTTTGCCAATTTTAAATTTTTTTATAAGGGGGTACCCCATGATTTTTTGCGAAAAATTAAAAATGAATAAATTGTCAAGGTTTAAATGCCAATCGTTAGGAAATTTAATAACGAGTTCAGAAAGGTATGACAATCCATACTTTGAATCAGTATTTGCTTTGTTATAGCGAAAAAACTGCAACGTTTTAGCGAAAAAACGGGTTTGGTTTTTTTTTGGAAATTCGCGATTTCAGTTTTTGACAAAAATTGGAATTTTTTCTTTTGGTTTTTTTGCTGTAACTTGGCCAAAAATGGTCCTACACCAAAAATTCATACTGTTTTGAACAGATAACAAAATTTGCTATAAATCCATAAAACCTTCCGTGTAATTTTGGAAAAATAAAATTTTCGCCAATTTTAAATTTTTTTATAAGGGGGTACCCCATGATTTTTTGCGAAAAATTAAAAATGAATAAATTGTCAAGGTTTAAATGCCAATCGTTAGGAAATTTAATAACGAGTTCAGAAAGGTATGACAATCCATACTTTGAATCAGTATTTGCTTTGTTATAGCGAAAAAACTGCAACGTTTTAGCGAAAAAACGGGTTTGTGTTTTTTTGGAAATTCGCGATTTCAGTTTTTGACAAAAATTGGAATTTTTTCTTTTGGTTTTTTTGCTGTAACTTGGCCAAAAATGGTCCTACACCAAAAATTCATACTGTTTTGAACAGATAACAAAATTTGCTATAAATCCATAAAACCTTCCGTGTAATTTTGGAAAAATAAAATTTTCGCCAATTTTAAATTTTTTTATAAGGGGGTACCCCATGATTTTTTGCGAAAAATTAAAAATGAATAAATTGTCAAGGTTTAAATGCCAATCGTTAGGAAATTTAATAACGAGTTCAGAAAGGTATGACAATCCATACTTTGAATCAGTATTTGCTTTGTTATAGCGAAAAAACTGCAACGTTTTAGCGAAAAAACGGGTTTGGTTTTTTTTGGAAATTCGCGATTTCAGTTTTTGACAAAAATTGGAATTTTTTCTTTTGGTTTTTTTGCTGTAACTTGGCCAAAAATGGTCCTACACCAAAAATTCATACTGTTTTGAACAGATAACAAAATTTGCTATAAATCCATAAAACCTTCCGTGTAATTTTGGAAAAATAAAATTTTTGCCAATTTTAAATTTTTTTATAAGGGGGTACCCCATGATTTTTTGCGAAAAATTAAAAATGAATAAATTGTCAAGGTTTAAATGCCAATCGTTAGGAAATTTAATAACGAGTTCAGAAAGGTATGACAATCCATACTTTGAATCAGTATTTGCTTTGTTATAGCGAAAAAACTGCAACGTTTTAGCGAAAAAACGGGTTTGGTTTTTTTTTGGAAATTCGCGATTGCAGTTTTTGACAAAAATTGGAATTTTTTCTTTTGGTGTTTTTGCTGTAACTTGGCCAAAAATGGTCCTACACCAAAAATTCATACTGTTTTGAACAGATAACAAAATTTGCTATAAATCCATAAAACCTTCCGTGTAATTTTGGAAAAATAAAATTTTTGCCAATTTTAAATTTTTTTATAAGGGGGTACCCCATGATTTTTTGCGAAAAATTAAAAATGAATAAATTGTCAAGGTTTAAATGCCAATCGTTAGGAAATTTAATAACGAGTTCAGAAAGGTATGACAATCCATACTTTGAATCAGTATTTGCTTTGTTATAGCGAAAAAACTGCAACGTTTTAGCGAAAAAACGGGTTTGGTTTTTTTTGGAAATTCGCGATTTCAGTTTTTGACAAAAATTGGAATTTTTTCTTTTGGTTTTTTTGCTGTAACTTGGCCAAAAATGGTCCTACACCAAAAATTCATACTGTTTTGAACAGATAACAAAATTTGCTATAAATCCATAAAACCTTCCGTGTAATTTTGGAAAAATAAAATTTTTGCCAATTTTAAATTTTTTTATAAGGGGGTACCCCATGATTTTTTGCGAAAAATTAAAAATGAATAAATTGTCAAGGTTTAAATGCCAATCGTTAGGAAATTTAATAACGAGTTCAGAAAGGTATGACAATCCATACTTTGAATCAGTATTTGCTTTGTTATAGCGAAAAAACTGCAACGTTTTAGCGAAAAAACGGGTTTGGTTTTTTTTTGGAAATTCGCGATTTCAGTTTTTGACAAAAATTGGAATTTTTTCTTTTGGTTTTTTTGCTGTAACTTGGCCAAAAATGGTCCTACACCAAAAATTCATACTGTTTTGAACAGATAACAAAATTTGCTATAAATCCATAAAACCTTCCGTGTAATTTTGGAAAAATAAAATTTTCGCCAATTTTAAATTTTTTTATAAGGGGGTACCCCATGATTTTTTGCAAAAAATTAAAAATGAATAAATTGTCAAGGTTTAAATGCCAATCGTTAGGAAATTTAATAACGAGTTCAGAAAGGTATGACAATCCATACTTTGAATCAGTATTTGCTTTGTTATAGCGAAAAAACTGCAACGTTTTAGCGAAAAAACGGGTTTGGTTTTTTTTGGAAATTCGCGATTTCAGTTTTCGACAAAAATTGGAATTTTTTCTTTTGGTTTTTTTGCTGTAACTTGGCCAAAAATGGTCCTACACCAAAAATTCATACTGTTTTGAACAGATAACAAAATTTGCTATAAATCCATAAAACCTTCCGTGTAATTTTGGAAAAATAAAATTTTTGCCAATTTTAAATTTTTTTATAAGGGGGTACCCCATGATTTTTTGCGAAAAATTAAAAATGAATAAATTGTCAAGGTTTAAATGCCAATCGTTAGGAAATTTAATAACGAGTTCAGAAAGGTATGACAATCCATACTTTGAATCAGTATTTGCTTTGTTATAGCGATAAAACTGCAACGTTTTAGCGAAAAAACGGGTTTGGTTTTTTTTTTGGAAATTCGCGATTTCAGTTTTCGACAAAAATTGGAATTTTTTCTTTTGGTTTTTTTGCTGTAACTTGGCCAAAAATGGTCCTACACCAAAAATTCATACTGTTTTGAACAGATAACAAAATTTGCTATAAATCCATAAAACCTTCCGTGTAATTTTGGAAAAATAAAATTTTTGCCAATTTTAAATTTTTTTATAAGGGGGTACCCCATGATTTTTTGCGAAAAATTAA